CGGTTCAGGGGGGCTAATTATCCGAGCCCTCAGAGGACCGTCTCCCCTCTGAAGGAAAAGAGATTTCCCCTCGTTTCTGCACACATACTTTTGTGTTAACCTCCTTCGTTAGTCCAAATTGGAGCGTGTGTGGATGAGGCGAACATCGCTTGCCACTTTGATACTAACGATTCGAACTCGACTCGAAAGAACACGTCCGGATCGGACCGGAAAAAAAGATAGATGTGACAAATCCCTGGACAATCGAGAAGGAGCTCCTTGTTCATTCATCAGCCAGAGTGTCCTGCTTTTTTTCTTTAAACTTGGGTAAACTTCCAACTTTTGTATAACTGCTGCGCTAAACTAAAAACACATTCTCAGAATCTTTCCAGGGCTCAGCATGAAACTTTAATCCATCCGTCCCACTTTTTATTTTTTCACTCATTTTCCCACTCTCAGTAGTCTGTGCCTGGAAAGCGCGGCCCTCGCTCACACAATGGGCCCCGTATCTCCCTGAGCCGGACCGCTGGTCCCTCGTCCGTCTCCCCCTCATTAAGCATATGTCCCATTCTCCCGTTTCAGACGGGAGATAGCGCAGAAGCGCGACGCACAAAAGCACTACTTTCAGGCCGCGCTGCTCATCTCGTCTGGAAGCCTGATGAAAGCGGATCAAATACGACTGACACCGGGAGGGGAGGAGACGGAGGGAGACGCGGCCCCGGGCGAGAGACGAGGCAGAACAATGGGCCTAAATGTGCCGTCGCTGCGGCGGAGGCGGCGCGGAGCAGGAGCCGGTGAATGCAGATGATTCTGTAATGAGGGATTAAGTGGTGGATTATGGGTCTTTATTAAGATGTTTCTGATCCTCATTAGGCTGAATGTGGTATCGGAGGGCATCGATTCCACCCGCTCGCTCGCTGGATTGGACACTCTCTGGAGGAGGAGGAGAGGAGAGAGGAAGAAAGAGTGAGAAGGGGAGATGGAGGCATGTGCTTCTTTAATCCTCCTCCGAGGCGTGAAGCAAAAAGCTAATCTAGAGATTTATAACATATCTTTTGTGTGCGTTTATCTTTTTAATAAAAGCCTAATTAAAGTATATCTTGGCTGGGAAACGTAAAGAATAGCTGGGAGTCGCTGCGGCTGATGGGAAGGACATTCGCTGTGCAGGTAGAAATAATAGAGAACAGAATGGCGGAAAAGTCACGTGGTCACCAAGGACAATAATTTAGGTTAGTGCGGATATTTCACTGGTTACGGGGAACTTTGCCCACTTACATAAAACAAGACAAAACCAGGTGAAAAACTGCATCAATTCCGCTTTACAATTAAAGCGTTTACCTGCCGATAGTGTAGAAGGTCATGACCATTGACGTGATGAAACCCTGCAGGGAACAAGCAGAGTATATATATATACAAACAATTGAAATAAAACACACTTTACATTTACTCCGTACTTCCTTCCACTTGCATATTGTTATCGTAACGCATGCATAGAAACTTGAGTGAGAAATGACTCAGGTTGTGCGTTTAGCCGTGTGAACGCTCTGCTGTCGTCTTCCCAATAAGAACCAGAATGAAGGAAGCGCACAGTGGAGCAGAAACAAGCCTCGGGCGCTCCAAAGATAATATTTACATCTCATAACAACTGAAGCCAAGTGGGAGCTCGGTGTTAACACGACGCAGCTCCTCGGCCGTTTTTTTTCCCGCGGACGTAGACACAGCGGTTTGGATCCCGCTCGGACTCAGACTAAACTTCCTCCAGCTGAGTGCTCATTTCAGCCCACTGGAGCCTCAGCACGTCTCAACAAGTAGCTCAGCAGCGTGCACTGAAAAAGGCTCCGCAGGGCCTTCAGACGCTCTCTCTTCATGGGCAATCCTTCTCTATGCTGCATCAGATCTGGAATCTCAGTCCACGCGATGGACTCGATGGCAGCGCGTGGGGAATAAAATGCAGGCCGATGAGGGAAAGCGGGTCAGTGGGATGATCGGGGCCGGCAAGAAGATCCAAAGGGCCTCCAAAAGTGGAAGGAAAAGAAACAGCAGACCCTAGTGGACTTTAGCCAGGAAGCAGGTCAGAAATATAAATGGATAGCGAGCCATCGGATAGAAGCAGGTGGGAAACAGCCCGCCTGGCTCTCAATCAAAGGTTACAGATAATAAATAAATAATAAAGTAAAGCTCACTAGTTGAACGTTTTATCTGCTCTTACCACAGGTCTTTTTGTGAAGAAGCTCTGATTAAACTGTGTGAAGTATGAGTGCACATTATTGACTCTAACAAGAAATAAATGTGATTTCAAAAGGAAACTTAAGGCAGCAATAACCGGAAAGGAAATTAGAGTAGATTAGGTAATTATTTGAGGTATATCGGACAAACAAAAAAAACGTAATTATTTGTTTTTGTTTTTTGTCTGTTATTTTACTTCCATCTGTAAATGTTCTTCTCTAAGTCATTGATCATGCTGTAATGCATTTTATGATTTGTACTATAATGTTTTTTGCCTGGACCCCAGGAAGAATAGTCTCCTTAATGAACACAAACATACACATAATTTGAAGCAGAATGACGGAAACACAGCAGTTCACTTCAGGTCATGAGAGTTTTATTCAGCGCTAAGAGAGTCTAGTAGCAGGAGTCAGAGATGCGCTTCATGCTCATGAACCTCATGCCGCTGCTGCCCATGTTCATGAAGTTCCTGTACTCGCCGGGCCTCACGTACATCATCCTGCCTCTGTACTGGGGCTGCTCGTACATCAGCCAGTGTCCGTCCGACACGTGGCAGGACATGCAGTTGGACATGCGGTAACGGTCCATGACGTTGTCGCAGTCGTCCATCAGCTCGGACATCTGACCCCCGAAGTTCTCCCTCTCGTAGATCTTCATCCTGAAGGATCCCCGGTGCTGTGATGCACAAGACGGGGCGGGTTCAGCTCACAACGTACGCAGGAATAATTGCGTTTTTTTCCAGAGACAAGATATCTAGCCAGGCGCGAGGTCTTACCATGGGGATCATGCGGCAGGACTTGATGGAGTCGCTCATGCCCATCATGCTCATGTAGTCGGCGTACTCGCCCCTCCTCATGAAGTACTGGTTACCCATGTAGTTGTTCCGCTCGTAGACCATGAAGCAGCCTCTCTCCACTCTGCAGGACTGGCACCTGCTTAGGTATGAAGACACGTCGGGACAGTCGCTCATGCACTCGTAGGAGCGGCCCTGGAAGTTCCTCTCCTCGTAGAAGACGATCTGAGGGAGAGAGCGTTTGGTTGATTCCTGCTGTTTGCGTTTTGTTAATGTAAATCCATGGTTTACTCTTATCGTAGCTCTGTTCGTGGCCATCGAGGCAATTCGCAGTTGTGCTGTTCAGTGGTGGAAATGAAAAACCAGCAGAGAGCGCTTACCCTGCCCATGGTGTTCATTCCAGAGGACGTCATGTTGCTGGTCAGCGGGGGGTCTGCTGCTCTTGCACGAACTGTAGCTGGACCTGGTTCAACCTTTTGCTTTTATACCTGGCTCACAGACCGGCGCTTTTGTGTAAACCCCCTGAGCCAGCAGCAGCGCCATAGAAATGCACAGAATATGGAGGGAGCGCCCACAATCCCAGCGGCCGGCAGGCTCCGAAATCCTTTCAGCGGTCACAGGGAGGGTGAAATTGTGTTAACAACACCTCGAATTCACGCTGTTTTGTCAGCAACAACGTACTTTTTTGTGCCAATGTGTCACTTGCAAAGTCATATACTTCAGGTGAATGTAGAAGGTTTTTGTAGTTCACTTTCATGGTGAAACACTCCATAATAATAATAACTTTCTAAAATGAAAAAAATGTCAACAGTGTCTCATATATCAATTACAGAAAATGGTTGAGTTAGATCATAAAAAATAGTAATTAATTATTCTAATCCGAACATACTACCGTCTATGTGTTTTTAATATACAGACTCGGTTCAAATTCAAACTTTTTATAGTTTAGCAAATATTTGATTGTAGGAATCCACATCGCTCAACAGTTTTATTTAAATGTTTATTGTTTTGGGCTTTTCGAATGTTAAGTATATTATTATATACCAAATATGTTGATCTATAAGGAAGCCACAACTCTCAAGCTAAGTAGCATAAGATGTGTATTGAGATGTAAAAAGTCTAGATTTTAATACCCAACGGTACAATTACTTTTAAAATCTTGGTATGTACCTAGTCATTTAAAAAAACTTCAAACTTGGACCCATTTAATTTACTTTAAAAAGTAACCCGGTAATTACATTAATTAATTCTCAATTCATCGTTTACATATCATATAGTTCTGTTTTATGCTTTTATGTCTACAAAGAATACAATAATTTTGTTGCACAAACTTGTTGTACAGAGACAATTAATAAACTAATAATTTAGTAATTTAGACTATCTGAAATTAGCTTGAGCAAGAGGCAGGATTTAAGACAGACATATACTCTATAAATATAAGTGTTGTCCCATCAGAAATAACCATGTCCCAGTAGTGACTTGAGCACATAGTCCACTTTCGTTTTATACAATAACTGTAATAGTTTATTGGACATTGCCACAGCAATATATTTGTGTATACAGTAATCACGTGTTGAATGTAATTCTCTATTCGATGTGTTGTGCATAAAAACTTGTTTCGGATACAGGTGCCGTTAACAGATAATGCCAGTCACATACATGATAATGCCAGTAGAACATACATGATAATGCCAGTAACATACATGATAATGACAGTAGAACATACATGATAATGCCAGTAACATACATGATAATGACAGTAGAACATACAGATCCACCAGGCGCATTTCGGAGGGGTGAACTTCAACTTCTCACCAGAGGGGGCGCTGTGACGAACGCGCTGCTCTCTGCGGGGACTCTCTTGACTTAGTAACAAAATCTGTTGTCACACGTTGCTAAGGAAGTAATTGTGCTACTCTTAAACTAGCCACTCTGAATGCTGTGAAACTAACGTGTTAACCAGAGGTAACTTTATTTTTCAACGTGATCACAATGAGAGTTACATGAGCCAGAAACTACGGTTTTAGCGGTTTATTAATACGATCGCATAAACGTTTCGTTTAACGTTAGCTGAGCTGGCCTGTGGCGTCACCGTAGCTAACGCTAGCTTCTCTGAATACTGTCGAAAATAAACGTTAGCTGAAGTAAGCATTGTACAGCCAGTTTATATGTAAACGCGTCGTGTTGGCTCGATAATAAGAAAGTAAGAAGTCATTCGACAACGCGACCTTCTCTTCTCTGTCTCGGATTGCTAACATTAGCATTTATTAGCTAGCTCACGCAGCTGGTATTCATTTAACGATGAGTTAGATTTAGTTTAAAAGTTAGTCAACTTAGTTGCCCCTGTGCTATTCCTAACGAATGCTTCAGTTTAACGAGTGTTCACTGTTTTCGGCGGGATATAAACATGTTCACGGGTCAGCAAACGTTGTCTGCATGGTTAACTTGGCTGAAATACCTAATTTAAAGGGCTAATTACATTTGATGAAATCCTTTTCTGGCCTGCAGGTGCTTCTCCGTTAGCGATGAGCGGTCTCCTCCCCACCTGACCGAAGCTGCTCTCAGACATGAGAGAGGATGACTGAGGATGGAGAGCACAGCCCGACCCAGCAGGGCTCTTAAGACCTCCTTAGTAGACCCCAAATCCTGCAAGGATCACAATGAGGCCCTTAAACACACCGCTAGAAATGCAGAGGGAGACATCGGTCCATGCCAGCCGTGGCCCCCGTCCCTCCCCAGGCTGTCAAAGTCCAGCAAAAGCGTCTCCGTGGACGAGGCCGTGAGCACCAGGAGGCTGAGGAACAGCGAGGAGAGTCTGAGTGACCCGGTGGAGACCAGCTCCTCCACGGACTCGCTCAAAGAGGACCGAGCGGCCGCGGCTCCGGGTGGGTTCCCTCTCCGCGAGGACGGCCCCGCCAGGCCTCACCAGGACTCCTATGCTAGACCCACCTCCACTGCTTCGACGGGATGCCCGGTCTTCAGGGACAGGAGTGGCAGTGCGTCCGAGCCCGAAAACAGGCCCTGCAGTCAGCAGAGCGACCCCACGGACCACCGAGCGAGGCCCGGCAAGGTGCGCCTGGCTCCGGTGCAACCTGCCGGGACGCTGCCTGCTCTGGGGAAGAGCTTCGCGTCGGCCTCTCTGAAGGCGGCTAATAGGATTGACGGGGATTGCGTGGATTACGGCGCGTTGGCAGGAGAGAAACTCGGGGAGAGGCTCCACAGGAACCTGAGCGACAGCCGGCTTCTGGAGAACATGGGGTCGGACAGCGCCTCTGTCAACTCCATGAGGTCCACCTACAGCGTGCTGAGCCCCATCAGGCCACAGGACGTGAGGAACAGGTACAGTAAGCGGTGGCGTGTCACCACCGTGTAGGTGATGTCATCTCCAGGCTTGATGTGAAGGTTCTCCCCGGGAAGGCTTAACTTGTTAGTGTGTCGTAGAGAAGGCTTTGAAAGGGAACCCGAGAACCCAAACGACACCCAACCTACCACGCCTTGTAAGAACGTTGTTACGCTCATAATCACTACGAGCCTGTGGTGTTGATGGTGCCTTCTGATTGGAGCGGATTTGCGTAATGCTTTAGGAGAGTTGAAGCCACATCGACACAAACTGCTCCAGATGTTTATCACGAGAAAATAAGGTAGCAGGCGGATTAACACCAGGATACCATCATCATAGGAGATGCTCGGTCAGCTCGGTCTGTATTCCTAATACAGTGTTGGGTAGGGAGTATTATTTATTTATTTACTTTAATCATGATTGACCTGACATCCGAGGCAACCGCCGTGCTTTTTGATCCTGCGCGGCGAGCGGCCAACGTCCTTTTTCCCCCGATGTGATTTTTCCAGGAGCTTCCTGGAGGGCAGCGTGTTGGGGAGCGGCGCCTTGCTCGGGGCCGAGGAGCTGGACCGCCACTTCCCCGACAGGAGAGCGGGCATCTACGTAGCCACTTGGAACATGCAGGGGGAGAAGGTAGCAGGACACCGTGACACTGAGCACAGTTTGGCAAACACTGGCTTAAGAAAACATGCTTTTTTTTATCATTTCTCAGGGGCTTCCAGCTAACTTGGATGATCTCCTCCTTCCTCCGGACTCTGAATTTGCACAAGACTTTTATATAATTGGGGTCCAGGAGGGCTGTCCTGACAAGTGAGCTGTGTTTCGTTTGATTTCCTATTCATCCGCAGGGAATTAAAGTGAGTTATTATGCTGATTGATGTGTGACTGTGTGTGCAGGAGGGAGTGGGAGACCCGTCTCCAGGAGACTCTGGGACCTTACTACGTCATGCTGTACGCGGCGTCACATGGCGTTTTGTACCTCACTGTATTTGTCCGGAGAGATCTCATCTGGTTCTGCTCAGGCAAGTAACCCGCATCCTGCTTCGAGTATCCAGCATTATAAACACATTTAGTCTTGTTTTTTTTGTTCGTCTTCAGTGTTGAAATGATTCTCCTAAGGACACACTGCGCATGCTTTTGTGTTTGAGTCCATCTTAAACACTCACTGACCATATTTTGTGCCGTTGACCCCCGCAGAGGTGGAGCACGCCACGGTCACAACCAGGATCATCTCCCAGATCAAGACCAAAGGGGCCGTGGGACTCGCCCTTACCTTTTTTGGCACCTCCTTCCTCTTCATCACTTCCCATTTTACCTGTGAGTAGCAGGTTTTCCCAGGAAGTCAGTCAACAACGCGAGGCTGTGCATCGCGTGTCTCTTAACTTGTGATTGGGCTTCCAGCTGGCGATGCCAAAGTCTACGAGAGAGTACTAGATTACAACAAGATCGTCGAGGCTCTGGCTCTCCCTAAAGGCCTTCCGGACACCAACCCGTATCGCTCCACGGCATGTAAGACGTTGTCTCCCCTCCCTCCCCCCGAACCGTTATTCATGTACAGTTCCTGGTTCAAGGCCCGTGAGTTGCTGCATTAACGGCCGTTAGCCTGATGTTCTCTGGATGTCATTTTTCACTGCAGCCGACGTCACCACGAGATTCGACCAGGTCTTCTGGTTCGGCGATTTTAACTTCCGGCTGTGTAAAGATCGGGTCGACGTGGAGGCCATCATGAAGCGCACGGCGGACGGCAGAATGGGCCCTCTGCTGGAGCACGACCAGCTCTCCAAGGAGATGAAGGAGGGTGAGCGGTCCTGTTCCTGTCTGAATCCCAGTGAAGAACTTTATAGAAGTAGCTCGTTGTGAAACGGTGCCGGTCTTTCCCTCCAGGCTCAATCTTTAAAGGTTTCCAAGAGGCTCCGATACATTTCCTCCCCACGTACAAGTTCGACATCGGCTGCGACATCTACGACACGACCTCCAAACAGAGGACGCCGTCATACACAGTAAGGAGAAGCGGCTACGTGAAGCCCGCTAAATGAATCCACCACGTGACGGCTCTCTCGCTGTGTCCACAGGACCGCATCGTGTTCAGGAGCAGACAGGCCGACGACATAAAGGTCGTGAAGTACGCGAGCTGCTCCAGCATCAAGACCTCCGACCATCGGCCCGTCGTCGGCGTCTTTCAGGTCAAACTCAGGCCAGGCAGAGACAAGTGAGTCCCGATGGCCATCAATTCTTTCCAACACAAGTTTAAAGCCTGGTGTGTTATTAAACGTGTGTGTTTGCGTCGTCTAGTATTCCCTTGGGGGCGGGACAGTTTGACAGGGTCTTGTACTTGGAGGGCATCAGGAGGAGGATCACCAGAGAGCTGAAGAGGAGGGAGGCCATGAAGAACCAAAGAAGCAGCAGCGTGTGCACCGTCTCCTAATCCCTCAAAGCGAGCTCTCCGGGCCGGAGGCAGTCCAACGCGAGCCGTAGTCGTCTTAACCATGGTGGTGACTGAGCAGAGGGCGCCCCCTGTGGGCCATCGTTAGGAGCTGCCTGTGTGTTTGACTCGAGGGCAGGGACCTCGAGGACACACACACACACTAAGGCTTGCAGACGCAGCAGCACTCTATCGATCATCCTCTATTCAAACATGACAGACTGAAGGAGGAGGGGGCGGGGCTTACTCTTCAGCCACGCGCTCCAGTGTGAGCTGAAGACGCCTTAACCTTAAATGTTGTTACTACAGTCATTCTCTTAGAATGATTTTTTGGAGGAGTTCCCAAAGCATCATGAACCACAATGTCGCGTCGGTTTGCTTTGAAATGGCTCGTGAACGTGTCGTCGAGTACGTGCCTCCAAAAATGGCGTTTTGGTGGCACGTGGGGGGGGGGGCTTTTGAAAAGTGAATGATAGAAATGTAGTTGTGGGCGGGAGACGATATATGACTGAAGGAGGGATGGCATTGAGTGACGCGACAGTCGGGAGGTTGTCACTGCTTGTTACGCGCTACTGTTGCATTTCAAGGGGATCAAAAGGATTTGACAGCTTATGTCTTAATATTTTGCAGGAACTCAACTACAAAAAGCTCATTTACACTGTTAACGCCTGTCACGACTTTTCCCTCTTATTGGGCCTCTAAGTGATCCTTTGCAGCAGATTGTAACTCGACGCGTTTCCTTACATCTCCACTGTACTTAAATTAACGTTTTAATGAACTTGCATTCCCAGCCTCTAAAAAGTGCCTGTTAATCTTGTTTTCAGACCTTTTAAATATCATTTTTTTACAAGTCACCTTATTTAAAGTTGCAAAATGAAAGCTAGCAAAACTAAAATTAAAGTTTTAAAACCCACTCGTTTGTCGGCTGAATGTTGTCCAAACACAATATACATACATATTTTAATTTGCAAAGGCATCTACACAACCACAGGAATACAAAAAAAAACACAGATTTCAATCTCTTTACACACATGATGACAGAAGCCATGATTTCAGTGTGGAGGACCAACCCGTTGACCATCTGCCATGGACATCCTTTGTTTGTGAAGCGAGACTATGAAGTGCTTCTTTTTTTATCCATCCACTCCGGAAAAAGGGAATTTTCACGTCTGGGCTGCTGGAGATGTACGCCGCTACTTTAGTGTCATTCATTGCAAAACGTAAATATAACCCGTTGGTCTTGTGGTTTTGTAAACTCCCTGTTAATAATGAAGTGACCCTTTCTGCCCACAATCAATAAATACAGATACTCCCAACTGCAGTTGGACAAAGGTCACTGTGGAGTAAAATGGAACCTTTCCTCGCAGTCCCCCACTCTCCGAGGCGAGGCCGAGACACTGTTATTAGTCCCCTCCCCGAGTGAGCCGTGGTGGGACGGGACGACCTATCGGAAGAGGCGGTACATGCGGGGCAGGCGCCCGTCCTTGCTGGACAGCGCGGCCTGGATGTGCTCGTACGACGGCAGCTCCGTCAGGTCGCCCAGCGCTGCTACCGCCGGCTTACTGCGCAGCATCTTGGTGGTTACTCGCTTAATGTCACCGGCTGTCACGTTGCCTGGAAAGTGATCGAGTCGATGAGTCAGAAGAACAAACGTACATGGAGGGTGAAAGTAGACTGAAGGCGACGTTTCCTCTAATGAAGCTATTTAAGAACATCTGTCCACTCACTTATTAGATCACACAGTTCATGCGGCAGCTTTCTCTTCCCTGTGGAGAGAACCTGGCGACCAACATCTTCAAAAATAACCGGCCTCGACTCGAGGTTCATCATCAACATGGACTTGAGCTGAGTCTTGGCCCTCTCCAGCTCCATCTGAATATGGGAGGGAGGGAGAGAGGGGGGGGGACAAGAACGAATGCTTTAAGAATGTTACACCGCCCTTTTTCCGTTTTCTCTTGGCTTCAGTAGTGGTGGAATGACCCGATAATGAAACACGGCCATTACCTCTCCGGCGCTGCCCGCCATCTGAATGAACTCTCTGGTTATTATCTCCACCATTTCCCGCACCTGGAGACCAATGCGCGTAACGATGAGAGAACACAAGACATCCCTGAAGACCACGTAAATAAACGTTCACAGCATGGCCATCGATCGAAAAGTCCTACTTGGACCAACGCTACAGTAAGACATATGGACCCGCGCTGTGCTGAGCCTGCACCGACCTGTCGGGGGTCTGCACTGGCATGGATACACAGCAGACCACTGTCCTCGTAGCTGTGATGGTAGGCGGTGGCGTTGTACATCCAATGATGCCTGCGACCGACGAGGAGAACCAATGCGACAGTTAGTGAAACGGATCGGTGTTCGATCTCCGGAGCTTTGCAAATCAATATGCATCCGCTCTGGTCACCCAGCATGCCCCATGAATCCAGGTGTTTAGTTTAGTATTTGATTAAAGGGCCAGCGGGGAGTTAAGGAGCTAAGGAGAGTCACACCTTCATTGACAGATTGAGGCTGTAGCACACATGTGTTGGGGTTTTAAGTAGAAGTGAATGTCTAGTCATAGAATTTGTAGTACGTGTAATGATGTTTAGTGATAGAATTGTAGTTTGTGTGATGTTAGATTAGTTATACATTAACATGTTAGATGAAGTGAATACAATGTGAATCAAACACAGTTTATAGTCTTTTAAAACGTAGAAACACACTACACATTTACATTCTGTTACAATGTGATGTTAAAACCTGGGGACGGATGCCAATTGCCGTTCTTTATGGATTTCCGCAACCCTTAACACATGCTAGCCAGCTAGTTTTAGTCAGGCGCAAACCTCTGCAGCCCTGCTAAAGGAAGGCGTTCTCTCCTGCCCCCGTAGGGGGCGACACCTCCGGTGGCAAAAAGAGCTCTATGACAAAAAATGACTACTTCTCCCTTGATGTATCGCCTCAGTGAACATGGTGCATATGAGGTCATGGCCTCAATCGTTGCTGCAGGAAGCGCAGTTACGAATTGATGGTGAATTGGGAGCCGTTCACCTGTTGAGCACGTTCAGGTAGAGGCGGGTGAACATGCCTTTCCCGGGTCCTCCTGCCGAAAAGGAGCCCCCTCCACCCATCATCATGTTGAGCACCGCGAATGGAATGAAGTCGTCTTCCTGCGGAGGGAAAACTTACTTTATACCCATTTGGGAGCTTGTGGTGGCAACTAAGTGTCGGCCACCTGACGCGAGACTCGCCGGGGCGACCCGGGACCGTAAAGACCCACCAGGAAGGAGCAGCTCTCCAGGCCGATCATGATGTGGGTGAGCTCTGGGATCGGGGTGGGGCCGAGGCTCACATCGGACATGTCCTTCTCCATCTAACAGAGTAAAAGAAGAGGTTATTATCCTTAGCTTGTACTAGCATTCCTCCTTTTAGTTCTTTGCCGGGTCAAAACGTGACCCGACACCAAAAGAAAGCACCTTGACGATGCCGCCGGTGTACTGCGCGACAGAGAGGTCCACGTTGGCCGCTGCGGTCGTTCCCCACACCGGCTCGCCGACCAGCAGGTGTTTCCTGGCGCATTCCACCAGCTGCTCGTGCTCGATGCCGACGCCGGCCAGCACCATCCGCTCGGGGCAGTAGTAGTTACGCAGGTAGTTGTGAAGCATTGCCTTGTCAATTTTTTCCACGTTGTCCACGGGACAAAAGCGAGGCAGTCCGACCGTGTTGCCTCGATATGCCGCCTGGAAACATAAACCACGGAAAAACACGAGGGGCTGTCAGAGCGGAACACGATACGAGATGAACAATTCATCCAAAAGTGTAGTTCTCTAATAACTGCTTAACCTCAGAAATAACTTAATATCAATAACAGATGCTTAAAGGTCGGCGATAAATCAGGTGGCTGTCTCACAGGGCGATTGTAGGGGGGTTTAAACAAATGAGCGGACTCACGGCATGGATCATCTCAGTGAGTAAAGGTTCAGGGTCCGGCCTCATGTTTAGATCCTCCAACTCAAAGCGCACAGCCATTCGGGTCATTTCGATCTCGTCGTCTGCACAGAGAGAAACACTCACGACACTTGATGGTACGGTTGCTGCTGATTTGTCCATTTATTTAAGAAGATGAGATAAGATAGAGCTTTATTAGTCTGGAAAATTAAATATATGCCAGAGTTTAATCAAAAAATAGCAAAACAATTGAATAAAAACATAAGCTATTTATATGAACAGCAGATTAACAAGTACTGCAACAGGATGGAAAAGGATCATAAGATAAATGAATAAAGATTCTAGGGGGGGAAAAGAATGAAATACGAGAGTAAAAATATAAAAGTGCACAAGTACCAGTGAAAGCAGAAACAGGTGTAAAAGTGGACTCACCCAGCAGGCGAGGCTGCAGAACCGCATCAGAGAGAAGACTGACCACCGTGTCCAGACCCTTCACTTCAGCAGACACCGCGTACATGGTGGTGTCCCTGCACATCAAAATGAATGATGCATCACTCGTGTAACAGCTGTATTAGCTCTCCAACAGACTTCTGTAACTCTTGAGGCGGACATTGTGCTGAAGGATCACACACCTTGATGTTTGGCAGTCACATATCCCGCCGTGCTTTTCCAACGTGAGGAGAATTTCATCTTTACTTCCGTACTGAGCTGTGGACTAAAGATTTAAAAATTCACCATCATTTCACTTGCGTCGACATCCTCGATTTTTCCACTGTGTGTTTTTTACTGTGTTCTACTTACAGAAAAGGCGAGTTTCTCTATAAAGTGTGCTATCCCACTCGGGTACTTTGCTTCATGTCTGGATCCAGAATTGACTAAAACTTGAGGTAAGAAAGAAGACAAACATTTGATCCACTTTGGATCCCGCAGAGAAGTGGACACTATGAATTGCACATAATTGCTGTAACTCACTTCCAACTGTGCAGAATTGACCAAACTTGTTTTGGGATGCGACTTTGAGGCCATTTTCTAGAGTAGTGATCTTGGTCTCATATTTTTCCAGACCATCTCCAGATGCGAATACTGGTTTTGGGATCCCAGGCAACGGTTCAGAGAGGGAGATATTTGGGTATCGGCCCCCACTGCTGTATTTTCTGTACGCTGCAATCCCAAACCTGTGAGGATATACAAAGCAAAGTTACTTTAACGCATTTCTTAGAAGAATCATACAGGGAATAAACTAGCAATTTAACTTGAACTTCCCGATCATTTTCTTTACAGTTATCCATTAAATTGTTGTTGATTCAAATCTGTGTTCCAATTTAAGTTCTGTTTAATTCCATTGTTATACCGAGGGCCGTTTCCTCATATTTATTCAACATTTGTTGATTTGTTGACATAAATGGGGGAAGCTGATAACACAATAAAGAAGGACTATACACGCGTATTTGGAGACAAAAATTACAAGGTAAAGCGACAGCAATGTGACTGATGATGCAAAAGCAGTGTAACATAAATACATTATAGTTAAACAGTAAATGATGATGGGATGGATACATTATGATGTGACATGCAGTAACGAGTAAGATAATACAACATGAAGTAACGATACAGCAGCAGATCAGAGAAGCGGTTTAATCTGCAGAGCAGGTGAAGCTTCTCTCCATTTGGTTAATTAGAATCGCTGTGTTCACACTTTAAAACCGTATCCCAAAAATGGGCCTTAATGGTTAACTTAAAACACACATTTAGCCGATGTGCGAGTCAAAGGCTAACCCAGAAGAAAAGCCCGGCCAAGACCAAAATACAACACAGATGACTTATTTACTCATGATTTAACATTGACACACGCTTTTTTAGACAGCTAACACTTAGCATCGAGCTAACGGAGCAAGCTAATCGTGGTGGGAAGGACGTGGAAAAGGTGAGTTCGCCGTATGTATCCTTAATGTTGCTCCAGTGTTTTCAACTCGAGTTTTGCGTTGATTTAGGAGCGTTTATTTTTAAACCAAATCTACCTTTGAACACGACTCCAGGTTCTACACTTCGACATGTGAGTCGCCATCTTGGATCCTGTGTGACCGGCAGCAACTAACCCGGATGATGACGTCATTCGCATGAAGCGCCGAAAACACTACCCGTTATAATTTTGGAATACAAAAAGACATGAATCGCATTATCGGGGGACTTTATTCTTCATTTTTCCTACTTCTTCTTCTTCTTCTTCTTCTTCTTCTTCTTCTTCCTCCTGCTAATTATGAGAATTAGTAATATACTAATAAATGTTCAAGGTATCAAAGGTATATTTATCTCTTTCACAAAAAATCTGTCTAATGGAATGTGGTGTGAAGTGATTCTAAATTGGAAATTGGACCTGGAAAAAAATATAGACAAAATATTTGAAATACGTGTGAAAAGAAACACTTTTTCACAAGGTGGTGTGCTGGAGAAGGACAGAGGTAGCACATCAACAGTTCCATATCCAAAGGGCCTTTACCACGAAGAAACATCTGCCCTCACACAGATTATTTCTGGAGAACGACGCTACACCTCCTTCGGTGGATTTACGCATGTGTTTGATGTTGTCCTGAATCCAACATTGTTGCATTTTGCCCACTAAATCATTCTTTGTCTGCTTAATTAAAATGACCCTTTCTGCATAGATTATAAATCGGTGCATTTGTACTTTCATTTCCATTTGATTATGCTGAATGGGTCGTCAATTTACATTTGCAAGGACTTCATTTGGCCCCAGCAGACATGTGGTAAGACGACATTGTCTTAGCTGCAGCCATGCATGTGAATAAATGAGACAGAATCTGCTGCATGCATCTGCTTTTGTGTACTCTTCTCCTTTTTTAACAGGTCACTTTGTGGTTGAAACCACAGCTCTGTGACATTGTACTTATGATCTGGGGATATTTTGAGTCCAGCGGATGCCAAATGTCATCAGTTTTACTTGTATTAAGTCATCAATACTATAGTAAAAATACTATATACTAATATATACATTTGTTGTGAACTACTTCGGTCTTTATTCTTTACTTCTTCTAAAAATAATGAGCACCAAAACATATTCAGATCATCTTTGAGTCCGATAGGTCGTCTGTGCCAAATTTGAATAAATTCCCTCTGGGGAATCATGAGATATTGCTTTGAAGCAAATGTCGTCCACGTTGATTGCTCGCACAGGCGCTTTTGGCCAAATTAATCATTTAGATTTATCATCTAGGAACTACGTGCGCTAAATGTTGTGTGTTCAAACTGCATCTGCTGATGCAGACTGTGTTATAAAGTGTACACAACTCAAGAACAAGCGAGCGAGAGGGCCCTCAAGCCCAAACTGGGACAGATGTACTTATGTTTTGAATCAACCTTGTCTAATTTAAGACAAGTATAATCTTAATAAAAGTTAAGCCACATATTTTATAGTCACGCTAAAGGGCCACCTCCCTAAATACCATCTCCCATATACCTACATTTACCTATGTTGGGTCTGAGCACCAGCTAGGCCCTGCAGCCCAAACCATGTGTAAAACCTTCTCATCTACGAGATGAACGGCCATAGTCACATATGGGTCTTATCTTAATATGCCTGTATACATATTCACATGATCTAATATTGTGCTTCTTCACTTACTGTAATTAGTTCACTTTTTGATGTACTACTTTGTGTGGAGAGAGTAGTGCTTTATGATTTTATGCTTCTGTTTTCATTTCTAAATAATGAGTATGCAAGCAGCGGTTTGGTGCTTCATTACAGCTGTTGTCTACTAATGAGAATTCACAGTATGCCTGTGTGGGTGTGTATGAAAGGAGGGGGTGGAGGTTGTGCATGGGCTTTGCTAGCTGGAAGCTGTGCAAATGCATCAGGACCACGGACGTTGTGCTCAGACCACAGACAGACGCTGACTCAACGCAAACGGAAACCGATGCAAAACCAACACGGAGAAATACAAAAACGTTGGACACGTGCAGAGTGAGTATCAAGACTCTCAATGGCGCTTCGATGGAGTGAATGAAAATGGGATATATTATATTTATGAAGTGCATTTTCTTTTACGACTTGTACCTTTTCACTGATCCTTCAGTGTAGTTCAATGTGCTTATTCAGCTGGCATTACCCTTTTTTCGATCATATGCAAATAAAGTATCTCACCTAGTGTCTGAGGGCACCGTACACTATTGTTTTTGCACAAAAGGCATCACAAGAACCTGCACTGAATATCAGTGTCTCTTGTATATCTGTTGAACGCATGCGAGCGGGTTACACTACCAGATTAATCTGGCATTTGTAGTGTTTGTGCTCATCGGGATGCTGATGAACAGGAAGCACCAATAATAATGGAATTGTTTCAAAGTGTCTTTTATTGGAAAGCCTTTGGCTTTAAAACTAACCAAAAAAATAATTACATTGAACCTAGGATGAAGTAATTTGGATTCTAACTTTTCTTGAATTCATAAAGTAGTGAACATTTAAATAGCAACTTGTTACAAGGTGAAGCAATTTAAACAACAATACCTGCTGTTGTTCATCAACTTTCTGCTCTGAAAACAAGCCAAAATGAAACAAAATACTTTAATCAATTGTTGAACTCGACAATAAAAAGTATTTCAGCTTTTCAGTTCAAAATTGTCTAATGCGGACAAAATGAAATGGAATCACTTCCCGAATAATTTCTGAATGATTGTGGACTCATTCACTACAGTTGTAGCCAGTTTTAAGTACCTTCCTTTTCTCTCCTATTTCTGCTTTATTTAAGCAGTAAAATTACATTTGGAGAAATGCGATGGCGTGCAAGTTGTTTTCACTTGGTCAGTATCGTATCACACAGTACAAAGCTGGGTTGTATATTAATTCATCATCTCTACTCATTGTTTTATGTAATTTAGAGATTTAATAAATAGAAAATAGGCAATAGTAGGCTCCTGTATCAAAAGAAAGAGCGCAAGAGTCAGTGTGTGGGCTAAAAACATCATAATGACATGCTAAACTGTGTAAATGATCTGTTGTGAGACAAACAAATACACACCCACAGGCTCTCAGCATTATTTGAGTGTAACCAGCCGCTGAACCAATTCAAGCAATTCATTGACGCGCTTAGTTCAACGGCGATGACTAATGTACTAATGTCAAAAATCAAGGAGCTTTTTGTTTTGTTTTTATTCGTTGAAGCATGCCATCACTGTGGGACTTACACATTATCACTCCCTTTGATTTACTTTTCATTAAAAAAAAAAAGTAGATTAAATACAATAAATACAATGATACAATACAAATACAATAAGCAAGTTGCATCCACTTCAAAAAGTTGAAATATCAAAAACAAGATTAAGTGGAAACACTAACTTTCCTCTAATCAAATCAAACAATAAATGCGGTATTTTCATTGTGTATCCAATCAACTACGGTTTGGCTGGCTCTCTTCCGATGATGCCATCTTGTTGATTCAGCAGCATCATAGAAGAAGAAGCTGTACCACCACCAGCTGCTCATCGCCTAAAAACCTGATGAGGTCGTCGTATTGTTTCTGTCCGGTTTCTCTATGCAGCGTTCACATTCTTGCAGAGAAATATGTCTCCCTCTGATATCTCCTAATATTTACCTGTGCAAATTCAGCATCGCAAACACAAAACGTGTGGCACAATAAAGCATCGGCCCTTACATGGCCGTATTAAGGGGATCATGAAAGCCTGCGTGATCAGACGGTAGCTTTCCTTGCAGAGGACCAATAACTGATCTTCACAGTACAAAGCTCCGCAGCCTCTTTTCATGTCACTTCCATTGAGTGGAGGGCCACAGTGGGAGCTCTATAATGTGGCTGGACCCATTCAGGGGACTAAGCAGGACAAAGCTGAGCTTGCTGCGGCGCCACAGACTCACTACCAAAATAGGTACGAAGCAAAGCGAAAAAAAGGGAGGGGAGGGCGTTAAGAGCAAGAGGGAGGGCGATGTTCAATTCACCTGCAGATTTACGTTTGCTAGAAACGGATCAAAAGAAAGTCTGTGCAAAAGGCGGTGGAGAAAACGAAGTCCGCTGTCGTGTGAGATTGTTTTGTGTGAAACTTGTTGTGTTCCAAACTGGGATAAAGTTTAACCCAGACGTGTTTAAATTAACCTGACCTTTTTAATGGCTTTGCGATATAAATGTTCACGTTGAGCTTACCACAATGTGTGGCTATGGAGCTGATAATTAAGACACATCATCAGAACAACACGACAAAGGTTGAAGGTGTAGCACATTTCCAATAGACAGTCTTTTACACCTTCCAGCTGACACCATGGATGAAGCTGTGTGGAGGTTTCCTCAGGGAGCTCTGCAGTAGGATGCATGTCAGTGTCTCCATTTGGACGTTTCCACAGATGACTTCCCACCTCGGCCTTCTCATCCTGTCCAGCTTGGCGGTCTCATCCGAACTGAGTGAGTCCACGTAGCTTTTTTTTTTCACTGAAGGAGAGTCAGACCGCTAGATGTTGATGTGATGTGATCATCTTGTTCACAACGCAGGTTTGGAGGACGTTTTCTTCAGTCCCCAGGACCAGACAGTCAGAGAAGGAGAGGGAGTCTTCTTCCAGTGTGTGTCTGGGGAAAGTTCTCCTCCTGCAAGCATCACCTGGCTCAAAGATGGGACACCGGTCACGAGAGGCAGACACATTCAGGTGAATGACCGCCAGCTTCTGCTCTCTGTCTCCTGCAACAGCAAGTGTGAATGTAATCGCCTGAGATAGACGGTAAAGGAAACATCACGGTCACATGACCTACAAGAACAATATCAGAGCACTGCTCCATTTATTATTTTCATAATCTGTTCATCCAGATTAGAGGCCGTCCTGCTGTACCGCCCCCACCGTCTCGGCCGCTGCGATGATGAAACCCCTTGATATATATTTCAATTTAAAGTAGTTGTTGTTGTTATTCAGGGTGAGTACGGAGGTGGTAACCAGAAGAAGACTTCGGCTACTCTGCATCTTTTCAACGTAACATTAGAGGACGATGGGATGTACATTTGTGTCACACACAGTCGTTCACTGAACACCAGCAAGAGAAGCAGCCCAGCTAAACTCACCGTGCACGGTGAGTGCAGGCACACGTTTCTGTTTTCCCTTTTGCATTTTAAGTTGCTTTATTTTTGAAGGACTTTTATTCTACTTTAAAAAAATAGTCAGCACTACATTAAAGGTCTCATTTGAATTACATTTTGTGAAGTGGGGTGAGTATCTTAAAAAGCGTTGTCCCTCTACCGTGCAGGTGTCCCTAGTAGGCTGCAGATCATCCAGGGCCCTGACAACATCACCGTTGCTATGGGAACAGAGGTCTCCATGCGATGCACCGTCCGTGGCTTCCCTGTTCCCATGGTGCACTGGTTCAAAGACGGCAGCCTCCTGTCGAACTGCTCGGCCTCGTTCAGCCTCCAGAACAATGGACAGCTGCTCACATTCAGGTCCAACACCGCATGGGACACGAGGAATAATAACTCTTTATTATTATTATAGAAATTAATTTAAATTCTAATTTCTTGTTCTCCAGGAACGTGACCAGGGTGGACGAGGGCTCGTACCACTGTGAAGCATCCAACCAGAGAGAATCGATCAAGTCCGAGCCAGCCTTCCTACTTCCAGCCGGTACAGTCTTTGATTTAGACTTTGGTTTATGTTTGAATTCATAAAAAGTTGCAAAAAGAAAAAGAAAAAAAGTAGTGAGGATAGGTAGTGTCTTTTTTTAATATATATATATATATATATATTTTTTTTTTATACATCTAATAGCATAATCCCTTCATCGATCTTACTCCTCAAAATGAGATTTCCCTGCCTGTGAAAATTACAAGTTGTCTTTCCAGAAATGGACTGGAGCTTCATCCAGCAACCCATCGACCAGACGGTGAAGAGAGGAGAAAACGTCACAGTCACCTGCAGGCCTCCGTACAGCCGACCGGCAGCTCAGGTGTCCTGGTTCAAAAACAACCAGCTTCTCACCTCCACTTCTCACCAAACGCTGCTGCCCAGTGGAGACCTCTTCTTCCACAGGTCTGTGCTCACATACCCATTCCAAAGCTCTGCGTTGTTAGTTAGTTGAGTAGTTGAGGACATAACAATATTCTACATATTGCATTACGCTGACAAAGCAAATAATATATCGCCTTAGCTCTTCTACCAGCGTGTGCCTTCACTGTATTCTCCGCAGTGTACAGGAGGACAACGATGGGAGCTACTTCTGCAGGGCCTCCAACATCCAGCTTCAACGATTTATCACTTCCAGAAGAGCAACTGTGACTGTGCTGGGTATGACATCACAATAATGCTCCTCCAACTGGGGCTTCCTCTACAGGTATAATAACAGCCGTGGCTTTCCCTTTCTTCACGGCAGCCCCTCCATCAGTGAAACTGTGGCCCCAGGTGCTGACGGTGTCTGTGGGAGCTCGGGTGGTGCTGGAGTGTCAGGTGTCCGGTAACCCGTCACCCTCCATGAGCTGGGTGAAGAGAGGCCACTCAAAGCAGACCGGAGGCAAGGTCGTCTTGGGGTACGCTAGCATGTTGTGAATTTAATGAAAAGGACAGCGGTTGGTAAAGTTTTGAGTGTGTAGAATTTGGCCGCATCTTGCTGTGAGGGTACAGATCTTCCACAAAGATTTGTTTCCCTTCTGATACCTGTGACCATGTTCGTCTTCCTCATACAGATTGAGAAACGCCACGCTCTACATCCAGTCGGCCCGGAGCTATGATGAGGGAGAGTATGCTTGCGAGGCCTCCAACGCTCTGGGTCACAGCCGCAACACAGCAATGCTGACAGTTGCTGGTAATATTAACACAAACTCAACTGCAATGCAATGCGATGAAAGATGCTGCACAACAATCTGGCATTTTACATTCAATAATCAATATTTCATTATCTCAAAGAAATGTAGAGTGGTGTCTTATTTGCATAATACGCTATTTGAACTCATGATCCCCTTAAAAAGACATAATGACGTAACTAAAAGTACATTTTATCTGCTAAAAAATAATCCAGTTGCAAAAAATATATATTTCCTTTCACAGAATGCTTTACATGAGAAAGTTGGTCTGGTACTGTAAATGGATGTTTCCCTTGTCCTCGTCCCAGTGAGTCCCATCATAGTGAGCCTCGTGGGTCAGGTGAGCTGCAGGATCGGGGCTTCGGCGGTCTTGCCCTGCAGGGTTGTGGGTATTCTGCCCATCAGCTATAGCTGGAGCCGTGGCGGAGCAGAGACAGAGTCCCCCATTGGCCTCACGCAAGACCGACACATCGATGGTGAGGCCAACGACTTTTAATTCATCAGCTTTTAAATCAGGTTCTCCTTGGAAGTTGTTTTTCAGCAGCAAATGTTGTTTAATCCACTTGATACTTGTTATCTTATCTTGTCGATGCAGAAAATGGAACCCTTCACATTTCCAGTGTGCAGTATTCTGATGTAGGGGAATACATCTGTACTGCTGAGAACCGGGCAGGGCGACATCAGAGACGTAGCATCCTGGCTGTTACAGGTATGTAGATGTCTGCTCATCATAAAACACGTTATTTCTTCATCAATGGCAGAGTGACTAATACATTACTGAAAACACACAGTTTATTCCCAGAGAGAGATTGTGTGTGTGTGTGTGTGTGCGCTATCATTAAATAGTCATTTTCATTTACTTTGAGTAACTTTAAGTATTTAAGTATATTGTTATACCACAAGCCGCTTCCTTGAAGCCGTTTGCAAAAGTTGATTTTTCTTGCTGATGTCTTTCGTGCTGTCCTCTGTCCTAAGCTGAACATGGTCCTGCTGATAGAGGCAAGCAGACAAGACTGGATGCGTCCGCTGTGAGTAATAACGCCTTGAAAACCTCTGCTGTCCTGTATGTCGTGACACTGCTTAGCTCCCAAATCGGAAAGATTGTATCAAGCGATACACCTGTCTTGAAGCTAAGAGCCTTCCATATTTTCCAGAGCAACGACACTAGCAAAGACCGGCCTGTTTCTCAATCCAGTGACTCTTTGGCTGAGCAACACCTCGGGACAACACACCATCCACACGCACAAACACAGCAACAAGAAGCCACGTGTATGTAGTTCAACCTCTATAGGTTGTGATAACTTTGTTCTCACCAAAGTAAGTGCTTGCTGTCGGGGGTAATCCTGCCGTACATTTGAGCCATTGCATTGGCGAGTTTAATGCCAACCGATGGAACTCCAGAATTAGATGAGATTTCTTTTTCTTTTTTAATTTCCAGGCTCCTTATCACGCTGTGACGCCCCTACGAACAGAACCACCGCATTGCCCACATTACCAAGAGGAGCCGTGGCGAAGCTCAAGACGCCCCAACAATCACTCAGCTATCTTTTCAAGCATCGCCTCAATCAACCAACGACAAACCCAACCCGGCCACTAGTTACGCAGATGCAGCCTCCAATTTTACCACCTCCTCCACATCCAAACTTCCAGTCAGTAGATCACCACACGCCTGGTAATCCTCTTTTTATTTTAGATAACGCACGAGTACACAGCCAGACATCAGCAGTCACTAGGGAAGTTTTGGGTACAACCCTTCCGGATTTACTCACTGAAAGTCAATCGCATTTGGCATTAACGACATCAGGTGCACAGTTTCAGAATCAAGTAAGTGAGGGATTGTTGATAGAGTCGGATTCTCAGGGGTCCAACATGCCTGCCGTGTCTCCAGCCAGTCCAACCCTAGAGGCCTCCCCTGAGAGGTCCAACCCTGCAGTGGGCAAACCCAACGGAGGGTTAGATTTGTATTTGCCAACTCCTACACAGAGTCCAACAACCCAAACAAAGACGAGCCACTCTAGTTCCACCACCCAGCCTTCTCCTTTTACAGCTGGACTGGACCAAACTCTCCAGGTGACTGCAAAAAGTGCAATCTATCAATCCGTCAGTGAGCCGACCTCAACTCAGGTTTCTCAAACCAAATTTGAGAACCACAGTCAACGTCTATACCAGGAAACAAATCTGCAGGATTCACCAACCATCTCACAAACGACTCAATCTGATCCTCAACCATCATTTACTCGAAGTCTTCTTCCTAAATTCCATATTGAGCTGTCAACAAACTCAAACCATCTGCCTTCTACACAACCTCCGCCGTCTTCAGTCACAAAGCCTCGACGATCCCAAATTCACAGTGAACCAACTAAAACCACGTCTGCACTTCCTCGATCATCTCCTACACAAAATCCGTTGCTCCGCTCACAAGTCCATCTACCTCAGACGGAAAGCTCTCCACTCCAACACAGACACCCCCTTAAAATCCAGCCTTCAATCTCAACCGTTCATCAGACCTATGAGCCTGAGATTCCTGTCGTCCATCGCATCGACACGTCCGCCACGGTACAGCGTAATACCAGCAAGAGAGGTGAACCAGGTCAGGAGGCTAAATCAGCCAATGCCACGGAGCTTGCAGAGTGGCTGAAGAGGAACACCTCCCAATCACCAATGACCAGCAATGATCAAAGGTAGGTCAGACATGTGAGGCGGAGTGATAGACACTGTGAAAGAAGGAAAAGCAGCAATATTTCAGTTAAGGTTTGTGTTCCACACAGAGTAACGCAGCAGTCTCCATCATGGTTGCCCCTGCTGGAGAAACACGACATTCCCATTGTGGTGGGAGTGGGTGTATCTCTGGCCTTCATCTTCATCACTGTTACCTTCTATTCAGTGGTCCAGAAGAAGGAACCTGCACCAACAAGCCGAGCAGGTCAGAGATCCTCAGCCACATCAAATGTCAGCACACCTATTTCAAATTCTGAACATGGTAAACTTCGGAAAAAAAAATTCATTACTCTTCAAGGAATAGTTTGACATTTTGGGTAATATGCTTTTTTCGCTTTGGGGCGGAGAGTTAAATGAAAAAACTGACACCACTCTAATGTCCGATTGTGGAAAGTGGAGCCTCACCAATTTTAGATTAAAAAAAGTCTGTTTACAGCTTTCGGGGGATATTAATGCAATTGTTGTATAAAATCATTTGCAGGCTCACTTAGTTAAAAGGGCAGCAGCTTTTTATCGCAGCACAAATATTGGAAATTGGAGGAAACCTCCACGTCAATCTGACGAAACCTGACTACTAACACCTCTATAGCTCTCAACTCAATCACTCATTCTTGTCTTTTCCCGTTTGTCTAATTCCAGTTTTTTCCGATCCCTGTGCCCAGATGTGAGCTGCTTATGTACAGCAGAAATTCTTCAGAGTGGTGTCTACCGTCTCTCCTCCAGAAAGCAAATAAAGCATATTTACCAAAATGTGAAGCAATTTCTTTAAAATTGAAATGTCCTCGACAGCTCAGAGGAACGTAGGCGTCCCCGTACGACACACTGACCGCCGAGCCGCAGGACGTACCTATGAAAACAGGTAGATACACTACTGAGCAGGACAGAGAAACGCATGTGATGCAGAAGATCTTTGTGTTTCTTTGTAGAAGATGCAGGAATAGTGTTTTGTGCCTCGCACAGAGCTTTTGAAGACGATGACTGTGTGGCAGTGATTGAGCAGAGCCCCGACACGGCACACACCCAGGCCCGACCTCCAGGGCCGAGCCTGGTCACGGTGCAGATGGAGCCTACCTTTGAGGACTTTCAGGAGGACAGTCACTTAGTCACCGTGGAGACGTATCCTGAGCCCATTCTTGACACAAAGGTTTGGAAACACATTTTTCGGAGGATTGGCGGCGCTGAGGTTATGAACTGAGTCAAATAATTCAGCATAGTTGTAGCACAGAAGAAGAAACATGAAAAATGTCCTCATGCTATGTCCCTTAAGACAGCCAAATCGAGACGTTAGAGATACTAGACCTATTTAGCCAACTAATGTGTACGTTTGCTGTTATAATGGCGCATCCAAATCTCCATTCAACCTGCACGCAGTACATTTGTGGCTAATGTTGGTGATAGAGGCAAAGAATCCATGTAATAAAAAATCTTAGAAACATTTTAATATTCTTTGGTTCAAACGGTCCAAATGTTTTAAAGAAGTGAAATAGGTAGAATTAGAGTTACCTCATTGTGCCATCAGGCTTGTTACCCTTCATTTGATCAAATCAGTGAAATTAACATCCGTTTTGTTATACTTTCTTCAGATCGATCCCTCTCCGGAGGAGGACAAGGGCTGCAGCTTGTCGCAGCCCAGCATCCAGCTGCAGTGTGCCGAGGACTGGACCGCTGACCGAGAAGACCACCGCCGCAGCCCGTGCCGGGACTCGCTGCCTCCGCCATCGTCCTTACCCTCTCGATCGCCTTCTCCCTCGCCGCCATCCAGACGGGAGGAGGGTCTGCGCTCCTCACTGACCCTGCGGAGTGCGGAGGCATTTTCGGCACCTATCCACCACAGCCTCAGCATCACTCACGGCAACTCTCCCATGCTCCTTTCTCACCACGTCTCTTTGGGCCTCACTACCGTGGCGGTAGATGTTCATTTTTACCCAGCGGCCACTGCTTCAACGTCAGTAGGAAGCACCACTCATATCAGTTCGGTCTCTAATTCCACTTCGGTGGCTGCACCTGTGTTCAGTTCCCAGGTAGTTAACTGTCAAGGGAATGACCAATCGACCGCCAGATTTAATCAGAGCAAGTAGCTCCAAATTAAGGCGTCATGTCCAGGACATATTTTCTAATTTTAAAAATACATTTTTTTGATATATACTGAAAACATTTGCATTGCATGAACAGGGCCACGGGATTATAACTATATATACATATTTACATGACATTTTATTTTCAGTGTATGGAGTTAGAGGTTGTTAGCTTAGCTTAGCATGAAGACTGAAGGAGGACCTGGCTCTGATAAGGCTACAAATACACAGAATAGTTCATTTAAAATGTATTTTTTTGTTGTTGTGTAATATATCACAATAATTGAATTTACATTACCAAGCTCTCTGCACAATACACATCGGTTGATTTCTGTTTTGGTAAAGATTAAATAAATTAACATACATCATGTTATTTGTTTATTTCGGCGCTAAAGAGGAACTGATACCTTCCACATGCCTTCGGTCTCCTTTGCAAGCGACACATCACATATGATGTAGATCTCCTTATCTATGTGCCAGTTTCCCGCAATGTTGAATTACTTCTTTCTTTTATGAGTGAAACAATGGGGCGAACATATTCTGTATTAGCACCTGCAATTTATTTACCAAATTGTGTTTTATAGCTTTAGCACAGCAGTTTCTGTATTACTCCCTCATACCTCTGAATGTGGTCTCGCTTTCTACCCTTATATTTTATTTCACTATCCAAACCGGAAAGTGAAAATGTTCCTGTTGAATATTTTTTAAATTATACGTTATGTAGGAATCCTTTTTCGTTGTTTTCTTATGGGTTAGTTCAAGTAGTAAGACTGAAATGTGTTGTACAGTATTGACTTATCAAGTGAAATAGCCAAGGATATTGTACATTGTCACAAGCTACTTGACTGTTAACAACTTTAAACCAAATGAGGGTAAGAGGGGCTGTATCAATAAACATTTACACACTACTACCAGTATCTTGAATTATATTTTTGCATGTAATTCAGACATGGCCTGGGAATGTTATTTCTGGCATGAAGTGTATACGTTTCTGAACTAAATAAAACTTAAATCTAGTCATTCTATGACTATCGATCACATGCAGGAAGGATATACAGAACTATAATACATCTTTAAATATTTCAGGGTTTGAACCATAATGAATTCACCTTAAATGCAATAGTTAAGTGGCATGGTTACTGATGAAGGGAACTTCATAGAGTGTGCTGTTCAGTGTGTTCAGCCCCCCTCACATGCCAAATTAGGTCTTACATATTTAGTCAACAGCAAATATTTACGAAGAACTTGTGAAACAGGGAAGTTCAGCAACCCCGTTTCTCTTTTTCAGTCATCAACAAAACCACAGCGGTGTGCGATCACTTTTCTCACACACGCTCCAAGGTGATACACCTCCCTGTGCATCCGGTCGGCCAGTCTGTGGGAACTCACATATTTAACCGTTTAGCATTGAGATCGTAGGTTCTTCTTAATTCAAATTATAAAGACACGCAAGTACAAGTACAGGAAAGTACAAGATCCAGCGTGATCTGCATTCCTCTACATGCACAGTTTAAACCCTGAGAGCCCGAGTGGAGTGGCCAGATAGTAACTTTTATTTTTTGAATAACACGTTTTGGTACAGATTAGAAATATTAATGGGATGTAATTTGAACTAGAATGTTTGGGAGACCGGCCTTAATGTACAAAATAGAATTCAATGCAGGCATGAATAAATCCCCTGAATTAGCACAAAAAAAACCCCACCGGCCCTCCAGTCCAAATGGGATTATGACAAACATGTCAAGAGTCCAAACACAACGGCAATATCTGCCACAGGCCGTACGTCGATCAACAAACTATGATGATCAGAATCGTCATTACAATTCGGTAGATGTTTCCCTTGGTTTGGTTTCCTCCTCCTTGCGGGGAACACGGAAGTCCACGTATGGACACCACTTGGTGTTGAGGCACACTAGTTTCTTCAGAGTGGAAGTTTTGACAATATTGAAGCCGGTCTCTCCCCCGAAGGTGCTGGGCTTCCAGTACTCAGGGGAGCAAATGGGGTTTCCCATCAGGCCTTTTAGCGAGAAGGGAGCGCCCATCTCCACCATACTCTCGCCAAATAGATTGTTAGGGCGCGTTTTCTCCAGCAGGATGCCAGGGTAGAACTCCAGAGCATCTATGTCTCCGTAGAGCTCCTCTAAACCTCTGGCCATTTCTGTGTCATCTGTTCAGGAAAGAGAAAAACGGATGAAGCCTGTCACACAGGGCCGCACTGTCTATGTCACACAGATTAAACGTGGTTTTCCTTTCTTCATAAGCGTGGTGTGCTAAACTGTTCTCAGTCCTCTGAACATTCATTGTTTCATGTTTCCATGCACTAAGGCATCAGTTGCAGATGCTACTTTGTTGCTAGAAGAACATTAACTGTGTGTTTGTGTAAACAAATGGATAGTTTGTGTTGTGTCTAAAAGGACAATGTAATGTAAAATGTAAAACTTTTTTTTACCTAACATTGTTTTACTTTTTTTCAAAATATTTCTCGACTCAGTATGCGTTGACTTTTTTTTCCCCAAAATGTTTTTTTTCTGAAACATTTTTCAACTATTTCTCAACATTTTTAATATAAGATTTTCTGACTTTTTTTTCAAAACAGTTTTCGACATGCGTCATATTTTGACACTTTTACAAAAAAAAACATTTATCCAATAATTCTCAACTTTTGTTTTGAAATCCAAGTGTGTGAAAGAAATGTTTAATTTGAAATCTAAAGCATTAATTCCATATCAAATGCTTACCAGTGAAGTCATAAAAAGAAGTGTACGGCTTTAGGTTGAACTTCTTCCTGTATTCATTGAAGGGCTGCACGCGCGTTGCTCGGGACTCCCTGATGACCATTTCCGCCACTTTGAGCACAACTGCATGAGAGTTGCGACCTCCACCGATCTGTGATACAAAATAAGAAGTTATCGTGGAGCTGAACTGTTTGTAGCAACACTGTTGTACAGAACAAAAAGAAATGAACACTACCTACTAAACTAACAACTACCAGCAAAAGATGCTGAATAATGTCTGTTTGATGGTTTAGTGCTTCGTCATTAGGTTCTGTCACGTCACAATATCTGCATCAAAGATCTTTCACATATTCCAGAGCAGAAAACGTGCATTATTGAATGGCCGACTAATCTACCTGCCCTGCAGCTTGTTGGGAGAAGGCATCCACCATTTTCTCCACACCGTAGTGCGTGAGGAGGGAGCTGTTGTAGATGAACTGCGAGTACGGGATGTCCTCCCCGTCGATGAGGAAGCTGTCAGGCATGAGCGGGTGCCAGTGGTAGAGGTGGGCGAACTCCAGAGCGATGCGGTTGCTGTACTGGAAACGTGCGTTGAAGAGCAGGGTGGGATCGAACTTGAGGTTCAGCAGGTAACCACTCAGGTGCTGCACGTACTCTTCTATTATAATGTTGATAGTCTCTCCTGCGGGACAAAAACAATAAAATGTCATAACTGGATGTCCCTCACTGAGACAAACCAACAGAGTTTTTGGAAAAGGTTTTTCATTTTTTCTTTGTAATCAGTTTCAGCCCTAAGGAGAATTAAACATGTGGATATTACAGTAAATTAAACTATAATAAAAAACGAAGCTTTCCGCGCTGAAGATTCTACTATCATTTTGAATAATTTAATACATCTTCGCTCCAACCACAGTGTCACAGAGAAAGAAGATTTGCTCCCGGCGCCCTCACCAATGATGATGAGCCTGGTGGTCTGGAAGAGCTGCTCATCGTCCCAGGTGGGATGTTCTGCCTTCAGGATCTCACAGACTCTGTTATGCTCCCGCAGCCATATGGTGGCGTACATGGTGAGGCCCGGCAGGAGGCCAAACACCTCATGGCCGATGACCAGGCGCTTCTCTGGAGGTACGTTTTCAGGGTAGATCATGTGCACGGGGACCTCTGATGCAGTTGGAGGGTACATCTCGCCCTCCACTGTCTGTGAACAAACGAAAGATGGTAATTCAGAACCGTTCAAACTTTTAAATTTGTCAGTAAACCTAAAGTCATCTCTAAAATCTCTTTTGTTGGGAAAACGTTGCGACAGACCTTGCAAATACCATGCTGGTGATGAAGGCCCACCGCAGAAGCAACTTCCTCAAGAAGAGAGGCTTTGAGATAAAATGGTTTGAGGAAGTTCCCTCTTCAACCCAGATAACAAGCTTGTCAAAGGCAGGCAACCAGTAAGTGTGACAGTTTTACCACGAGACTCATTCGATAGAGGATAGAAACATATTCAGTGATAGCACTCATATCACACAGTAGTGCAACAGATACATTTTGAACATCAAGGCAAGAAAATGTGTATATAACTCTGAAGTTTTAGTGTGCATGTGTTTGATATTTTTTGGAAATATTCTAAACAGCTTCATCCTTAAAGCCGAGATGAAAGGTTGAAACGGTGAATATGAAACTAGCCACCTAGCAGCCCGTTAGCTAACAAACACTTGCAATATATTTACAGTAAAGACGTGAGACTGATTAATCTTCTCTTCTGACTGACAGAAATATATATTTCTTTAAATGAAGACTTTCTTCATCACCTGATATTTCATCTTTCCATCTCTATGAAGCCGGAGCTGATGCTGCCTCACCAGGTTGTCTCCGTAGATGTTGCTCGCATCCACCTGGCGAGACAAAAAATACATAAATTCGTCAGTAGAGTCAAAGTCAAACACATTAACGGCCAACGACGGGTTCCTAACAGGTAAACGCTGTTTATTGCCTGATGTAAACCAAGTGATGGCTGTGGCTGTACGTGTCTCCTCACCCCGTGTCCTAAAGCCTTGGTGAAGCCCCCTTCGGCTTTAAAGTCCGTCTTGAAAAACTGGTGGGTGAAGTGTTGGGCCATGAAGACAAACATCAGATTTGATCCCTGAGGGTCCGGCCGAAAGGTCTCTCTCCTAAAAAACCTCTCAGTCAACACTTTTGGATCGGGCAGCTCCGCTTTACCTGCGGAGGAGCAAACATTTAGGGATCTCCTGGGGGGGGGACGCGCCGTTGCCCGTGTGCAGCGGTGCGGCTCTCACCTTTGGCGCCCATCGGTAGAGGGCAGTCCTCGGGTACCGGAGGGAGGAGACGGGTGTAGTAGGAGGTGTTGTAGAACGACTCCCAGTTGAGGTATCCATACTTGGTATTGTAGGTCGGAGGGCTTGGAATAAGGTCGCTTCTCACTTTAGGGGGGAAATTACAAAAGGCTGTGAACTACAAATTTCTCGTACGTTGTCCAACTTGCGCGTTTATTGAAATGAATGAAGCACCTTGTTTGGAAATCTGATTCACTTTTTAATCTATATAAAAAATTAAGGGATAAACCTGCTGAGATACTATTTGTGTCTTATGGTCAACAAATCCCACGAAGAGACCAAAACCGTATTGATCCAATACTTGCAGACTACTAAAGCTTGATAAAGCTTATTCTTCTGCTGTGTAGAGCTCTAATGTTTTAATGAACTTTCCTCCTTGCTTTTCATAAGAGTATTAAGCCAATTACCCCAACAGGCCTCGTCTAAAACCGTGGCGCAGAGGTCAATATTGTGTATCAAAGCCTACATTCTCTGACAAAACAATAACAGCAAAGATTTGCAAGAAATTGTTGGGAAATATTGGCCTCAATGTTGGTTTATCTGCTGTGGTCTGTGATTCTGCTGATTGACTGGCTTGTTAGGGGATTGCGTGGAGGGGGGGGGGGGGGGGGGGGGTGCGGTGGTGCAATTCTTTTCACATACCGGTTAGCACTAGTCTCATGACTGTGTCTCGCAGGAAAGAGCAGTTGACCAGGTCCCAGAACCACTGGAAGTGGGTGAGGATGAAGTGAACTACGTGGGGCCTCGGCTTCAGCGCCAGACGAACTGTGGTCCAGAGATGCGCTGCACGTGTGAGAGAGGATCAATATTCTTGAAATAAACGGCTAATATATCTGCCTCTGTGCAGGGAATATCAATTGTGAATATTTTAAATGAATAATTGATCAATTGTTTATAGATCACATTAAAGCTATTAATACTGTAAGAAAACCCTTTGTATTTTCAGGTTGTAAAACATCCCGTAGGCATGTTATTAATCTCATTTGAAGTTACCCTTGTTTTATGTTTTCAGTTCTTTAGTTCATGCAGTGTGGAAGAGTAAAGATTAGGATTTATTAGGATCTATAGCACAATGCGGTAATAAAAACTAAAGATCATATGACAAAAATCCGAAGAGCATTAGATGAGTTAAATGTAACATTTTAGTAGCTATTGGGTGCTTGGGAGGTCGACCTGTCGGTCACTTGTGCACATGTTTCTGTACTTACGGACAGTGCAGTTGTCTCCATAGAAGCCAGTGCGAGTGCAGTCACATTGGTAGCGATCTGTACCAAATCTCACACACACTCCTGAGTTCTGACAAGGGTAATAACAACAAGGATTCACTGAAAAAAAAGGAAAAAGATCAGCTGTTTAATTGCAATAGTGTTGCCCCTGCAGAGCTAGATGACAGAGCCGATGACGTTTTCTCTCAGAACATTTCTGACAACAAAATGAAATAAAGGACACTTCACAGGAAGGGTTTACTAAATTAAGACTTCCCTGCTTGCAAATAGTAACTGCTGCTGCCGGGCATCAACAGCAACCCCCTCCCTCGTATCTTTAGCACTCTGCTGTTGTAATACGGCTTCCTGTCCTCCCCGCACGCTTGTAAAAGTCTAACGTGATACCCAGCAGTCTTGTCTTCCTCCTGGGTTATCAATGAGAGGAGATATAAGCATGCACACTTGACATGAACTGCAGATAAGAGTAGGTTTCATGAAGGACGACTGCATGCACGAGCGCTTTAATGCAGTGTTGTTATGTATGTCCATATATATAAAGTAAATATAAAGTAATAATATAAAGTCAGCTAATTCATACATCTATTGATGGAGCGCATCCTATTGAGCACATTTGACACTTAAAAGTATATTTTGCTGCAATGCAATGCTTTTGTGCTTTTACCTAAAATGATTCATTATGAAAACATTGATACTGGACTGTATGAAATTGGGTGGCTTGCTACATTTATTTGAAGAGATTTCAATAATTCATCCATCACTGATGCTGCTGTAGCGGTCGATATTCCACTTGTTTTGATACAATGACCCATTATTTTCTCCACCAGATGCCCTCAGACTGCCCCACGTGTATCTCACGTCCACCTGCTCCCTTGTTTCCACTCATCGGCCCTGCAGAATAGCACTGGATCATCAGTGTTTCTTTGTGCCTTCTTGCCGATTCAACACCCTAAACCGTTAGGTGTCGAGTCTCAAACATCCCGTAGCATCCTGCATGTCCGTGAATTTAAGTCCCTTCACTTCTCCAACAAATGACTGAACAGTCGGCTAAAACACCATAACTGAAGCACAGCACAGTTTACATTTTTATCATAAATGATGAACCTTCTGTGTCTGGGAATTAACATTCGCTTGTTCCAAAAACTGACCACTTCAACAACAGATTTGCATGATTCGTTTTATAGTAAATAAATAATGTGGGTATCATCATGAAATACAATTACTATGATTACTTCTCATTTTCAAATGATTAGTTGATACAATACAGATGTGCTGTGATGGGGGGAAAACTGTCTTACCAACACTTGAGTCAGCAGCACACAATGAGCTCTCCAGCAGCAACAGTTTGAGAAACCAGGTGGAAAAGATGCTTAACCCTGCAAAAAATAACAACGGGGGGAGAATATTATCTGACGGTGAAAACATTCATTTCATATTTAGAGGACTCACCTTTCATCGTTCTCTGAGGGCTCAAAATGAATTTAGTGGTCAGAAATGTTGTTTAACAATGTTTCTAATGTAATGTAAAAGACAGGGCTTAGCTACTCTCTTTATAACCACCTGCCAATGTGCTTCAACTGGCCTTTCAACAGATAGAGGGAAGGGGCGGTGACTTAGTTTCCTCTACTTCCTTCATTTAGGCAGCAATGCATTTCAAAGAAAGTCTGCTGCCAGACTCTTTTGGATTTGAGCTTTTTTTTGTCCTACAATGGACGTCAGGATTGGATCTAGCGTGTAAAACGTTCTGTCTTCAAATGAGGGGATTGAGAAGCTTTAATGTGTCATTTGCATTATGCCAGTGGGAAGAAACACTTAGGGATGCTCCAGGAGGATTTCAAAGCGCTCTACTGCCCCCTGCTGGTGAGCTGATGTAACGCACAGGGCTCGGCTTGAAACTAAAACTTCAATTAAAAATTAAAATTGCACATCATTAGAAGCAAGGGTTTTTTACAATATCGACTCTTACACACGTTATTAGTAAATATCCAAATAACCCTGAATGGTTCTACTGACACAGAAGTATGTCTGATACTTGTTTTTGGGGGTCGAGGATGTCGGTGTTGTTTTTGGTAATGTTGTATGAGGCAAACAATGCAGTTGAATTGCCAGGTTCTGATCTTTGATACCTTCCTCAGAGACATTATCTGAACCAAAACTATGTGAGATGTTTGTCTATTGAAGTAATTTCCTGCATACTGTAGCAATTTAGAACAAGCTCGTCCACATGGAGATGAGTCAAATCTTGAACAAAAACATGTTCAGCTAATTTTTTTACAGACTTTACCTCCACTCTCTTTGAAGATTTATTGGCCAGGGTTTTTCTTTTTTAACAAACAAAAAATTTTGTTCACATCGTTCTGATACGATTTCTTCTCGGAATATAGCCTCTATTAAAAACCTAAGCTGATCAGACCTGCCAAACCCCAAAACCACAACAGCTGTGGAAAAGGATTCTTTTACATGTTCTATTTCCTACGAGAGGACCAGGGGATTTGTTATGGTTCACATGCACACGGCATGAGCTCAGTTTCTTGTCACTGTGATTGGTTTTGTATTGTGCGTTTGTTCTGCAGGTCTATTGTCCATCTGAAATGGAAATTTAAATCTTATACATCATTGAAAGGTTTTTATTTCTATCTGGCCAGTTGAAATTTGTCTTTTACACACCGTCACATTTACAGTGAGAAGTAGAAGAAGCATTCAAAGTGGATTTTATTACTCTACATTAAAAACAAATTGCTGCAGTCTTATCACGCTTTGTCTACACAACAACTGTCTTAATCTCGAAGAATTAGTGCCTCATGTTTGTGACTTTGTTTGTCATCCCACATAAAGAATAAATAAAAAATTGTATCTAACTAATTCTATAGGCTACGGTTACAGTCTCCAACACCTGTTTTATTTGAACCTGTTTGTATTCCTAGATTTTGTGCACTGGATGGAAGCCTCGAGTGTTTTTTTCTAATTCCTATAGCAAAGAAAAAAGTAAGTGAAACCTTTCATCTTAGATGTAGGAGTTGGACCATTTCAATGTAGCAGAGTAATTCCCCCCCCACTACTGCTACTACTGCTCGGGGGGGTTCTGGGGATCGTAAAAACGCCGCACACACACAACACAATTGTGATATCTTCCCTCTACATACACATTGAAACATGCTAACGTTTATCAGTGCTTGGGGAATTCATTTTTCTTCATTGTTTAGTGTTGAAATCTTCCAATGGGAAACCGAGTGTAGAGCATCCATTAATCACTCCTCAATGGACTTTCAGTTCCCCAAACTAACCAACCGCCGCCGCTTCAAACTATATTTGAAATACATTCTGTTTCCCAGATATGATTGATATGAAAAAGTATGAGAGGCATCAGGAACTAATTATCAAATCATCACTTCCCGCCTTCACGAGTGCCCTGAAAGGGACTCGTAGACGGGCTGCCTGGTTGCCATGGCGCTGTTGGCTCAGCCCGCAGACCGAGGCCCGCCGCTTCCTATAGCACTCCCGGTAATTGAGATCAGATGCTCGTGTGAGTGGAACCTGGACTGGGAGTAACCTGGAAGCATTTATTTTATGGGGAAGATGTTTAGTTAAGCTATGGTCCAGCTCCAAATGAGCCTCGGCCCGACTCTGGTGATGAATACGATTGGTGAAAGCACTGAAGGCTTGTTCCTGACGTCTTCCCCCCCCCGCCCTCCCCCCCGGATCGGGTTACAGATTAGCAGACTTCCTGTCCAGTTGGGGAACAAGCCGACCCGACTGACGGAGGGGCGATATATAGGCGAGCAGGCGAGGGCATCGTGTGTGTTATCTCAGATGGGGTTTCCAAAAGAGCCCCTCAGCGGTAGGTCGCCAAAACCAGGTATCATTTGTTAAAACTGTCTGAAGAAGCAGCTGATTGTAAAAGGAGGGCAGACCTCCTCTGGAGTATAGGGTAATGGTCCATTTATCACTGTTGGAAAGTAGCATTAATCAACTGTACTTGTCCGTTTTGCACACAAACAAATGATTGAATGACTCTGCGTAACGTGAGAGGTGATAAAACCCACAGAGAATTATCATCCGACTCGGTGTCTTCCCCCTCAGCTGTATGGAACATTTAGACTGTTTCGGCTTAAAATAAATTGAAAAAAAATAAACAGCAGGCGGTGGGTGAGAAATATCAGCATCTTAAATTACCTCATTAAAAGTGGCAATTCATATGAAAAGGGTTATCAGTCAGTGGGGCCTCACGTTGCACTGTGAGCTGGTTTCAAGTGTTCTCGGTCCCACGAAGGACCTGAGCTCTGTGGGAGGAGCGAGACTCATTCGTCGGCAGTCTGAGAGCCGGCGCGGCCCCCCGTGGACAAACACAGAGTCCCCTCGCTGTAATTTAGTCACTCTGCGGACTCACCACATCTCAAGTGCAAGTGCTCACGGTCTCGGGCGCGTTCGCGATTCGGGCGTCCGTGCACGTGTGCCCTCAACAGATGGATGGACGTGTTACTCGCCCCCCCCTGTTTCCTGTCCCACCTTTCCATTCTTCCCCCAGGCTGATGGGAGTGCGAGCGTTTGCCGCCCCCCTTCTTGCCGCCCTGCACCCGGAGCCGCGGGGATCACCCGAGCTGCAGGATATTGCAGTCGGCATCAAACTAAACACACAAAGCGTCCGGCGTGAGTGATCTCCACGTTTGGACCAATCTGATGCGACAGCTTGAACACTTGAACTCGGAGTTGGCCCTCTCGGGTGGGGGACGGGGGGGAGGTGGCGTTGGTAAGAGGCTGGGTGGTGCCGCGTGTTGCGTGTGCATGTGATTAGGAGCCCCCCCCCCCCCCCCCCTTCACCTCTGATTGCTCCGGGTCACCGCAGGTGAGCGCGAGTGGTCGGAAGAAGGTCATTTTCCTTCTGGAGCCGGTTACCTGATTGGGTAAGTTGCTGATCTTTGACCTCGGCCCCCAAACGTATCGAGAGCACGGGCTAAATTACACACGCAGCCATCACAACAGCTCCGCAAAACATCTTTGCTGTGGAATAGTTGTGCCAAAATGAACCTGATTTCACCATATTCTACTTGCATACTATTATTTTATTGGTGTTTAGTCACAGATCCATTTCCTTGTTTTCGTCCAACAAACAAATAATGCGCCCCTCCCTGAAATTCTCTTCTGGGAGGTTGAGGGGTTAAAGCACTTCTTGCCGTATAGAAGGAGTTTAGAGGTGAGGCGCAGCAGCAGATCCTGAAGCTGGAAGAGGTTGAGCAGTTTGCTAATGGATTGAGAAACCTTTCTTCTTGCGAGGGTTACGTCAACGATTCAGTGAGAAGCAGACTGACAACGAAAAAAGATCAAAATCAAGGCAGTGGAAGTGGGGGAGATAGCCGGACTTTTAGCTCTGATCTCCTCGGCCCTCACACAAGCTTTGAGTTATACATTTGGAGCCGAGGCTGGTTTGACCCTGATTACATCGCGATGGTTATTTTCTCCGAATCTAGAAAGCTCCAGATACAAGACACTATACGAGCCATTGTGCAGAATCAGTGGAGATACCCAGTAAAGTTTTCATAATGAAAAACATGACCTTGAGACAAAGATGGTAAGTTGAAACTGAATTTTCAGTTTTACTTCTCAGAGAAACAAACACGCTGGCAAATATAGTGAAGCATTTTGTTAAGAGAGAGATTTCTCTTAGAAGATGCTAGAGACCAAAACCAGGACCAAGTAACATTCAATATTGGGCTGACGTGCATCACGGGCCTTGGAACACAACTTAAAATGAATGTAAATGGTGAAAGACTTTTATGAATAAAAACTGTCAAGTTCATTTCACTCATTTCTTAAAACTGAATATTTGGAATCTGACAAATAACAGTTTCTGGCTATTACGTTTAACCTTTTCAGTGGAAAGGAAACTAAAACACAAACGGCCCACATTGAACTTCTTTAAAATAACAAACATCACTTATTTCTCTGTTAAAATCAGTAAATCACTTATTTGCGTGACAATAATGCAATGCAATGGGTCAGAGAGCATTAAACAAGGTGTGCTCTCTCTTCACACAGCAAGTAGCATCTGAACAGCCCGGCAGGGGTCTTCACCCGCTGTCCCCGGTTAGCGTTGTCTCACTCAGACCTCGAATTCAGCGCCACTGCTTTGTCAAATAAGGCAAATCCTGTGTGCATGTGTTTCATTTGACCTAAAACTCAGAATGAATTCTAATATTGAAGCCATATGGAACCAGATGAAATACATGGTAAGAGAAAAGGGTTCAACTGGTACTATATTAAATAATTAGCCTCCCTCCGCGCTGCTTGTCGGTTTCCCTTTTGTTTTTAGTTCCTCCCACCCTTTTAACTGTACTCAACTAATATGTTTGACACCGGGGCTACATCTGCAAACGCAGTTTAATCACAAACCAATATAAGTGTGGGTTTGCGATAATCTTGAAAAACATCTGTATTTCTGGATGTTTCGTTCTTTTGATGTGGTAAAAACAAGACGCAATAGGGGATACACTTAATTTCACGCTGCTCACTGGCCACTTGAGGGATTTGTTCCTTCAGCCAGCAGAGGAAAAACATCAGTGTCTTTCTCCCCCCCCCCCCGTCAGTGGAATTGATCAGCTGCTTCCTGGCTGTAAATAAAGGGGCATACTGTAATCCACTTGATAAATATCAAGCAGAATGAGGCAATCAGCTGAAAGCAATTTGCGCGTCTGTGCTCGAGCCAGCGGCTCGTGATTTTCTCTCCTGTCATCTATCATAGACCACACGCTCGGGCCAAAATACACAATACCCCCAAATTGATGTCATATGGAGTGCAAGCCCTGAAAAAAAAAGCCCTTCATTTTTCCTTGTCTGTACTCCAAATAAACTTGTATTTGTTGAATAACTGGAGCTTTTTTTTTTTTCTTGTCTCCGCTACAACTTCCCGGAGAAAGGGATGGTGTAACGTGCCATTTCTTTTGTTTGTTGAAAGCTTGGCTTGAGGACTGTAATCTAGATGGGTTTGATCCCAGAGTAGATGCAGCCTGTTGCTGCAAACGTCAAACTGATTTTCAACCAGCTCCCATAGGCAAACATTCACGAGCTGTCAGAGTTTTCCTCTATTAATGGGCTTCTTCACGTCCTCGGCAGTTACTCACTCTGAAAAATCGTGCATTGTCGAGCACATATACCGAAAAGGATTTAAACAAGTGATTCACAGCCTCAGATGAGCTCGTATAACACATCATATCCTTCCATCCACTTACAAATACATGGATTATAAAACGGATATTTTCTTAGCACTAATAAACAAAAGTGTTTTTTGTGAAAACATTGTTTTCGTGCAATTTAATTGTCTGTGTTTGTTGTCTCGGTCATGTTAGCAGGTTACTGTTACAACTTTACTCTCAACATTTATTCATTTATTTATCAATCACAAAGCTATTTGGAGCGTTTTCTTCAACTAACTTAACTGTTAGTCAACTAATTCAGATTGTATCCATCGTTGTTTAGCTAACTATTACATTGATTTCCATTGTTTATTCATTTCTTTTAGCCAAGTATTTCAACAATTTAGCCACGCTTTTGGCTTATATTTCAACTGCTCATTGATGCCATTACTTTGAGGTAACACCGGCAGAGGGAATCGGTTGGGAATACAGGTTTACAAAGGGGGTAACCCAAAAAACCTCAGCGGCAGCTGTGAGTATTTTTTCGTGACCTCTGTGTTAAGGCTCGCTCCGCCCTTCCCCAAACGTTTTCTATCAGCCGACATGCCGAGCAAGCAGAGCATCCGTCATCCCTGTTACCGAGGCTTTGCGCCGGTTCTCCGTTACATGCAGCCATTGAAAGCGAGAGGTATGAATCATGCACATTGCATTTAGTCTGCACCTCGCCCCAAAAGAATGGAACAGAGCTGAGGGGTGAAGAGAATGAATGACTGCGTGCACTCGACGTGAAGAGAAGACCCACTGCTGTTAATACTTCACCATGCACAGTCAAGATTACAAATGTATTGATGTATTTAAACAACAAAGAGAATGCAGATTAACATTACTACGTAGGAAGAAGTGATTCAACTGATCTGGTCTGGTTCTGATCTGATGAATCACATTTTACCGTATAAAATTATTGGCACAAGCTTAAAAAGACTTATTGTAGTTTAGGGCTGCAACTAACGATTATTTTGATAATCGTTTAATCGGTCGATTATTTTGCCGATTAATCGCTGAATCGGATAAAAGAACAGCATTAAAAAAAGCTTTCATTTATTGTAAAATAACTGCATATTCACATTGGAAAAAGACTCATGAAAGTCCACAAACAGGTTGCTCCTTGAACATAATAATTTATAAAGAAAAAGTAAAATACAAATCAGAAAATTTAACAGGATAATCAAAACTTGTTCTTTACACTAAACTCAGACGCACTCAAACGTTCACACTCAGAAACACTCAAACACACCTCCATGTTCACTTGAAGCTTATTCATATATTATCAGTGATCAGTTATCAAGTTAAGTAGACGTATACACCACATCTAAATACAGCTAAAAAATAGCCAAGTGCTATGAGATCAATTTAAAATGGCATTAAAAAGTACAACACACACACACATATATATATATATATTTGTCAACAATAACCGATATGGGACAAAGCACAAAATATATACAAGACGTGTCTTTGGTCTTACTAACTGCTTTACTGCTGTTGTTAGCGAGCTAACGCTAGCATGTTCAGCTGGATGACGAGTAAACAGCGGCTGGAGGCTCCTTACGTTCCTCACGTCAATACGGGACAACGTGGTGCTGCAGTGAAATGTTACGTTGACTTTGCATATTTTGCAATTGACACACTTTTTTAAAATGTATTCAATGTGAAATGCTCGCACACCTTGGACGACTAAAGTCGAACAGACTTCTCTGCCTGCGCCACGTGACTCACAACCGCCGACGCTGCTGGATGCTCTTTCCTCTCGTCAGCTTTTTTCTTTTTTTTTGTTGTTGCTTCGCACCATTGAGTGACGTAATAATCGTGCGACACAACGAATCGATAATGAAATTAATAATCGATTTTTATCGATTTCATAAAAATTGTTGTTGCAGCTCTACTGCCGTCTACTGTACTACTGCTCTACACAGTAATGATAAAGTAGTTTTTTTTCATTGATTGATTTTTGAACGGTTATTAAGATCTCCAGTTCAGATAATACTGCTCATGAGTAAGTAATTACTTCAAACTGTTAAAACTGCTTGAGAAAAAAATGATTCAAAGCTCGGTGACAGGAGGATAAAAGTGTTTCTCCTGGCAAATCAAATGAGAAAAAAAACAACCTCGGAGTATTTAGCTGTCAGATGACGTTTCGTTTGGCTGCTCAATTTAGCAGAATATTCTCCAAATTATTCCACTGGCAATTACAGCAGTAGCTTTTATTACACTCTATTAGCACGAAGATCTTTCAGATTTGAGGCTTTACCTCAGCGTGAAGGCTGTTATGTTTTAAAGCATTGTTTTCCAGCTATGGAAAAAGGGCCACACCTTAATCCCGGTTGCTTCCCAACACAGTAAATAAAGGTTTGCCCTCGTTTGAACTCCTCTGCACCGCCACGGCGAGCGCAAGACACACGTCATACATTGTTGACATAGCAGCCATCAAGCCGTCCACTGGGGCCCATTGGAGGAGTCTAATAGCTTTAGCATGCGGTTACAGTTGTTGTTATTGTGGTAGCGTGCCGGTCACTTATTGTTTGTGTGGATCGCAGACAACTGCATCTAAGGGAAGGTCAAGGTCTGCAGGACAGGGCCGTCGCACACACACACACACACATATGTATCCACGCAGCTCTATGGGACGCAACGTGCAGACCCGTCCTCACATATCCCCACAGCCGGGAGGCTGTCGTGCGTTTCATGTTGACAAATTGTCCAGGAGGAAATTCCTCCCGGAAAGAACAGGAAACGGTTAAAGAGCTGCTGCACAACGGGTCTCTTTCTAAGTAACACATTCAAAAGGTGCTTTGCAAAGCTCGTCGTTTTATGCCCATATTAGACGCATTTTTTAGGGCTTTCACAAAAATGTATAGGTAAAATGCTTCAGAAGGTGAAGATGTCTTTATCCTTCTTAGCAGGTAAATGGCCCAAAAAGCTTCTTCACTATTATTTATCTTGCTTGGATCATATGCCTCAAAAATCACTGTCTCAAAAAAGTCATTCAACTGGTAAAACAAATTGCACATCATCACTCAAGAGCGACCCTAATGGAGGCGAAATAGCTCTCGTTCCTCCCCTAAAGTCTCCTTCATCTTGACCACTTCCAGTTGACCCTGCTCCACCTGTAATTACAGTTAATGCACAGAGCTGCTGAAGTGCGTCGCACCGACTGTGCAAAGAGTCCGAGGCAATACGCTTTCTAGTTTCATCAATAAGAATTAAAGTGTTATTGATTTCAGGGAAAGCGTTGCTTTGAGTCTGTTTGTTCTCTCTCTCTGTAGGTGCGGGTAGTTTGGAGATTCTAGTGAAATGCATTTAAAGCTGTGGTATCAGTGTTGAGCCTTTAACTTAAGAGAAAGAAAAGACTACATGTGAAATCCCTAAAACGTCAATTTATCCAAGACGGATTGCCTTGTTCTCTTTACCTCACTTCAACTCACAAAATGAACTCTCAACTTGTATGAACATATCGGTCAGTTGGTAATTTGTTACAGACTGGTTTTTAATGTTGTGTTATTTAAAGTGTCATGCATATACCATAAATACAATGTCAGATCAAATGAGAACATTTCCACCCAAAGCTATACCAACAGAACCAGAAGAGTGCAACCTAAAGAATGTTGTTGTCTAAGAGATGTCCCAAAACAAAATCACAATGATCAATAAACCATGAAAGGGACTTTCTCACATCTGTTAATTCCAGAATAACACCAGTTGGTGTAAACTGAAGACTGTTCAACCCATTTTCAAGTTGTCTTTTATGTGCTGTGATGAAGTTTGACGCGGCATTGTGGAACTCTTTCAATGTCCTCGTGATAATAAGACTATAAAGACTTCACCCGATTACTTGACCTGATTTAAACTGATCAGAAAAGATGAGACTGTATAAGTGTTGAATATTGGTTTAAAAAAATCATCATTATCATCTTTAGCAACTCTTTCACTCTCATCACCCTGCAATCAGGAGTGACACAGTGAAGTGATTTCAACAAACGCACGCCTCCAATTCGCATCCATCATTTTAAGAAAAAGAAAGAAATGTAAGGTAATCAGTGGGTGTTTCCAGTGGATTTCCACCGTGTTCACGACTTCGTGCCCTATACGTGCGAGTTTATAAAGGAGGGTATAAACCCGCGGGCGTGCTGGTCCAATGGGCAGCATCACATCCTGTCTGACTGAACTGGGGTGTAAACTATGAGCGGAGGCGCAGAGAGGGAACCACAGCGCGGCCCGACGCACGCACGCCGGAGCCGCTGGCTCGTTCATCCCCACGGAGTGGATGAAGTCGGATTATCTTTTCAGAGACCGAGAGAAGAGTTGCTGTTGTTGTTTTTTAAAAGAGCGATGTCTCACGCAACCGTTAGGATGTTTTCTCCGTGATGTTCTGGGGAAACTATTATCGGACGATGCTTTCGCTGTTTTGGGGAGGTTTTCCATGTATGAAGTATATGTTTTTCTGTTTCCTTACAGGCTGTCTCTCCTTATTTCGCTGCCTCCAATATTTATACACTAGCTGGTAATTAACATAATCTTGCATTCCTGATCATTTCGACAAGATGAAGGACAACACCGACACCGGATTGCCACCTAAACGCGGATTTTTTGGCAGTTCATGAATGCAGCTGTAATCACCCAGGGGAGCCTCAAGTACTTAAATGGGTCCATCATGACAACGAGACAATCAGGCTCCTTTATGCCCTGAGATCAGCTGCAGTTTCTGCACATTGTCTCTTATGAATAGATCCGATCTCCAATTGGGCCACTTCACTTTGGAGATTTTTCGATTTTCGATTATACAGCTATTGAAATTAGGATGCGCCGCTTCCCCCCCCTCCCCCCCCCCCCCTCCCCGCCCGCTCTTTGCTTGGTGTCTCGGTTGCCTTTTCCTTGATTACCAGATGAAATTGACACTCGGGTTGCCACTTATCAAGCGAAGCATTTCAATCCACCGCTAATTGCAGATTTAGTGCCATCCTTTCTTTTCACCGCGTTTTGATTGCATGGGAATACAGCCTCCTATTGCGCACAAGAGGAATGATCGATCATATATATATGGAGGTTGTTTTTTTCTGCTTCTAATTGCATCAAAATTCCTTTTGTTGCCAGGGCTTAAATGCAGGAGAAACTGTTATTCCTTGTTTTGGACCGGATGTAGTGTGGGTTGGGGCAGAGATGCGTAATGCACAAACCAAGCTCCATCTTCTCTCCAAATAGGCAGCGTTCAAGACTCGAAGATGGTGAGTCATAAACATCTGGACGCGTTGGCTTTTGCAACCTTTTGATTTCTTTGTCCTTCAGTCGGTGTAAGCTTCTTTGATTGCTTCTTTTTCCCGCACTTTTTACATGCGGGGTAACCACCGCAGGACTCTGGGGCGTTCAGGTTCGAATCAGGCTCGACTGTGACTGCGGGGCTGTATGTGTGCGTGAATGAACTGGGAAGTCGTGGAGACTACTGCCACAAAAACGCAATTGTTCTGCTTTTAATATGTTTGGATTAGATTAAGGAATGTAGCATAGATAGTTGTGTTATAGATGAAACAAAAAAACATTGTCTTATCATAGCACCGTTCAAGTTAATGATAATGTAGACAATAAAAAAGTCGAAGAAGTGTCAAAAAAGCCTCATTAGCGTTTTTTCGCGACTGGATCGAAGTACAATATTTGTCTGCAGAGGCTCTTCTTTTAATAATAGTCAATGCATCTATTCGCGTCTTCGGTATAAACCCGTGTTATTGTGACGCAGTCTACATCGGAGGTGAAGAAGGAGTCCGCAGAGTCCAGTCCGTCGGAGGCCGCCTGCCTCTGCTCTCCGGCGGCCAAGAACCGGTGCGCCAGCTGCGGCATGGAGATCCATGACCGATACCTGCTGAAGGTGAGAAATAAGAAACGCACAAAGCTTCAAGAGACTTACGATCAAAGTGCGTCTCCTAATTCGGTTGGTAGCTCCACTTTAGTATTTTTTTTGCCTTTACGGTAATACAATTTGTGCAAAAATAGGCGCAAAAGGAAAATGTGGTGAAGATTTGGCGCTGACAACCACTGAAAAAAAAATGGATGGCTGAATAAACACTTTAAACGAGTTAGTTAATTAGAAATCATATTTTCATTTACGAAAAACTCAATGTCTAGTTGTCGGTCACAAATACTTTAGAGCATTAGTCCGTGTGATTGTATTTTATTTTGAATCTCCACAGGTCAACAACCTGAACTGGCATTCAGGATGTTTGGAGTGTTCCGTCTGCAGAGCGTCTCTGCGGCAACACAACAGCTGCTACGTGAAAAACAAAGAAATCTACTGCAAACTGGATTATTTCAGGTATAAAAATCCGCTTTGCTGTGATTTATTATTTTTAAAACGCAAGTGTGCAAGATACTCCTTGGATCATGGGTGATGTTATTTTTTCATGAGGCTTAAATATGTGAAACGATTATATATTTTTAATCAACTACAGTTTAATAGAATTAAATGCATTTAAAAATTATTTGTTTATATAAAACAATCTGATGATTTATTCAATTAACATATTTATAATGAGGTTCAATTCAATGTATCAATTACCTTACTTGAACTGAGTATAAAACTGTTACTAACTGAACTATTTTTAAATTTAGTTTAGTTTACTAGTTACTTTTTCCCTCGGTTGCTTTGTTTTTATGCCGATCGATTAATAAACTGCATATTATTTAGTGCATATGATAATAAATGGTTTGAAGCAGAATGAATTTAACTTCAGAGGACCTCAATAACAAAGAAAGAAACGAACAGGCCCACTTGTCTCTACTCAACGGAGAAAAACTGAAAAAAAATAACAATACCGGAGCGTTTTACCCAAAAAATCCTCTTTCCGCGGGGCTGAAAAAAAATCCCCAAATTCATGCAAACAATTCCAAATGGATTTTCTTGTATTTAATAAATAAATGTAAAAAAGGGTAACATGTTTTATGGTTAAGGGAATGTTTTTTACTACATAGTTTAGATAGAAAGTTAGACTGTGTCTCAAAAGCTTTAAAGGGCAAAATCATAAAACATATAAATAAAAAAATCATTAATTTCCAGTGAGAGATGATATCAAAAATACTTTGGAGATACTTTATTTAACTTATATTAAGTTTCCATTTCTGTGTATTTTACAGCTAATTGATATTTGCTCCGCAATATCAAGGTGTGGACCCAAGTACAAGGATTTGGTTTATTTTTTAAAAGTATAATCTGCATAATGGTCATGATGGTCTAACAAGGGTTCTACGAAATCCAATAATTAAAAATATCACAGAAAACCACGAACTCAACGTTTACGCAGCGATTATTAGATAGTTTAAAGAGCAGATAAATGCATGTAAGTGAATCGGAGTGAACCACTAAACGCACTGCATGTCAATTAGTTTTGCTCATTTGAATGGAATCTAGCTTCGGCGTTCTGCAAAATAGAGGCAAGAACAAACAAATATAGAATACAGCTTGGCGGTCGGAAAGCCGTCATTAAACGTCTCGGTGAAGGATCGATGCATAAACCGAGTTGTGTAACCAACAGCCGACCTTCACCTGCCCGTCGCCTCCTCTCTCCTCACAGCAGGTTCGGCACTAAGTGCGCGCAGTGCGGCCGGCAGGTGTATGCCAGCGACTGGGTGCGGCGCGCCCGGGGCAGCGTGTACCACCTGGCCTGTTTCGCCTGTTTCTCCTGCAAGAGGCAGCTGTCCACCGGGGAGGAGTTCGGCCTGGTGGAGGGAAGGGTGCTCTGCCGCAGCCACTACGACGTCATGCTGGACAACCTGCGCCGAGCTGCAGAAAACGGTATCAGACTCATGACCAGCAAGATATACATGCAAGAGTCAACCAATGGAACAGAGTGTGCAAGTTGGTGATCTCTAAAGGGTACAAATTGACCTTTCAAGTTTTCTCCTCTGGATGAAAACATGCAGAAGCTCTGCAGTCACAAAGTTATTAGGGGAAATATTTTTTGTTTAGACATACAATGCAAAACTTTATGTTCTCTGATCTTTGTGAACTCATCTGGGAGTTTGAGCAGTGTTGTTCACGAACATGTTCCAAAAGTACCTGCACGCTTTGAGGCGCTCTAACAAAATGACCAATCAGATAGGCCTAAGGAAGAAAGTCAGCTATCACCATCAGCTATGTAGAAATAAGGGTTCAATATGGATCCTAAAACTCATGCAAACCTTCCACTGAAGCCGGCTGCCTTCAGTGGAAAGAACTTGCTTCATAAATACTTTGGACTGCGGTTGTCAGCATGAAAACACCTCAATTGTGTTACAAGGCCTGTTTGGACGAATGTGGTTTTGTGCAACTTCACAACCTTCTGACTGAGATGTAATTCAGGGGTGAAGGACCAGGCCTGTAAGAGCTTGTGCTCTCTTAAAGGGACAGGACTCACTCTGGAGGGAGCGCTGCCCTCTGACCAGGACTGCCAACCGAAGCCAGCCAAGAGGGCGAGGACCTCGTTCACTGCTGAGCAGCTGCAGGTGTGTTGCGTGCATCATTACCTGTGTGTGCGCATATGCCGGTTTGTGTGCGGATTCATGACGGTGTGTCCTGGCAGGTGATGCAGTCTCAGTTCGCTCAGGACAACAACCCCGATGCTCAAACTCTACAGAAACTGGCAGAAATGACGGGACTGAGCAGACGAGTCATACAGGTAGAAGACTTTTAAAGGCCTTTGGGACGAGACTGAAGGATGAAAAACACATTTGTTTTGAACTGGTCTTTTTGGAAAGGGAGAACACTCCTTGGTTAAGCTGTTGATCGTGTATGTAAATCTGTGATGAGGAGTAAAAGACTGCAACACTCTCACAACACTTTAGCTCTTCAAAATAATACTCACATGGGTTTCTTATAACCTTGTAAATCCAGAGAATTTCCCCAGAAATGTTCCCACTTGTATATTGAAATGGAGCACTGTCAACCTTTGACCATATTTCCCCCCTGAAAATGCCAGATTTAAAGTATTTTTGGAGATTAGACCAGATAAAGTATTGGTTATTTCAAAAGAAAGGACATTTTAAGAAGGTTTTCAATTGCCTTCTATTTCTATTCCAATTTGATCAACTTTTGACTCCTCGATTATGTTTGGAAACTAATGATTTACTTATAATGCATGAACTCTGCATTTAGAGGAAAAATAATCAGTAAAACCAGGATGCACCCCATCAATCTGATGGATGAAATCCTCCCACCAATGAGATCCAGCGAGACAGACAACACCTCCAACCCCGCATGTCCACGGTGGTGTTGTGGTGGTCGTCGAGTGCTGCTCGCTCACCATCACGAGTTGTTCCCCGTCGCAGGTTTGGTTTCAGAACTGCCGGGCGCGACACAAAAAGCAGCCGCCCCTGAGCGGGTATCCTCCGGGGGCCCCGATGTCCAGGATGCCTCCGTCGCTGCCGGACGACGTGCACTACTCGCCCTTCGGCAGCCCGGACCGACCGCACCTGCTGGCCCTGCACGGATACCTGGACGGTGAGTCCCGGGGTCTTCAAGTCTGTCCCGCGTTGTGGGGGGGACATCTGCCGTCAATCGACCCAAATGGAAGTGATAGAACATGTGTTGTGCTCTTTGCAGATCTGTGACGCAGCTCATTTAGTCAGTAGGTTCTTGTTTCTCCATCTGCTGCACTTCAAATATTGTACTTTACTTAAATTATCGAACATCAGTGGTTAAGAGTTATTTTACAGATGAAGGCTAAACATAAAAATATAAATTAAATGAAGATTAAATTCTGAATGAAAATTTGAAAAAATACGTTTTAAGGATTTTATAAAAACACACACATTTGTAAAGCGAGTATTGGAGCATAAGTTCTGGTTTTACAGATGGAATCTGCAATTTTCAGTTTGAGTTTTTCCAATAATCCGGTGCTATGAAAAACGACTCAAAGGGAGAGAAGGACCCGTTTGAACCACTAGTCTCTGGGTTCACTCAGCATTTAGCATCGTTTTCCTTGAACCGAATCACCTCCCGATGCTCCATCATCTCACGTGGTCTCTCCCCCCCCCCTCGCAGCTCACCCCTTCTCCGTCCTCGCCGCCCCGGGCCACTTGAACCATCCGTCCATCTCTTTACCGCAGCTTCCCATCAGCCGCTGACCTCCTGTTTACACCTTTTTTTTTTTGTCTGATGTTGTGAAAAAAACGAGTTCCTTTCGGGACGTCCTGTCAGTAATCTGCTCTTTTTGGGGAAACTCGTCCGTCGGGGCAGCAAGGACCTCGGCCATCTGTTTTCAACGGGTTGGATTCTTCTTTGACTGCACAGATCTTTCCCACTTTCATTCCAACGTGGGAATTTTTTTTAAATTTTGTTTATTTTTTTATTTTTGCAAATAAGAAGACCACTTACATTTTATTTTTCCTCTTTTTTGTTGGGAGACAAAACGTTGCATCAGGTCAGGATTGTTTTCCCACTCAAGGTATTTTAATGCTTTTGCTGCAACATGGAACCAGAGTGTTGTAGCAGTGTTACAGTAAAACCTCAGCAATTGTTTTTTGTATCGGTGATGAGCACGTTTGCAGCTTTAGTGTTATTTGTTGTTGTATTGTTGTCAGGAAACTCCTATTTATTCAGAACAAAACTTAACCTTTGAAAAAAAAAGCACTTTTAAATGTGTCTTGAAATGAAATAATTCAGTGATTGTACATTGTAAATACTGCTACAGTTTAATAAAAATGTATCAGAGCCGTTATGAAAATGTTAGTGTTTTAATAATTGAGGATGAAATTTAATTTACTCGTGCAGAGAAAGCCAGAGGGAATGTGTGTGTGTGTGTGTGTGTGTGTGTGTGTGTGTGTGTGTGTGTGTGTGTGTGTGTGTGTGTCTTAATGTGTCAGGAGAAGTGCACGTTTTCAAAGACAGAAATCCCAACATTATATCAAGGCACTATTTCCACACTAAGTGCTACAAAAATCAAAAGGCCGACTGCCAGGGGCCGGTGACCTGCAGTAGCCTATTATTGTGAACAATGTCCTGCACTTCATCTCCAATTTACACGCTGAACTTGACAGGAAATGTGATCAACTCTGCAGTGGAAGCGTGGCTATTGATCTGGCAGCTTGTTGCCGTTTATGAGGCCTTTTAACACAGATTATCTACAGTTGTCACATTGATTGGCAGCACTTAAAGGGGCTTGCGATGTGAAGAATGGGCGGAATACTTTGAGTTGAAGGATATCATCAGATTTACATTTTACAAACTGGTCCGATGTGCACCTTCATTTTGTTTTTACAACTGAAGTGACTTCAGGCTGAGCCGCGCCCACAAACCGCCATCTTCACAATCCCACCAGCGAGCAGCATGCAGCCCACCGTGGAAACGGGCCTTTAGTCAGATGATGTATTGATATTTGAAAGATTAAGGAAATCTCTTTATTTACGTAACACATTACATACACAAAAGGATCCCTTTTTTTAAACCACTACCTCAACGTTTAAAAAAAACAACATTTAAGCTTGCTGGCAAATGGTTAGTTTAGCAGAGCAAAACCTGGAAACGAGGGGAAACAGACTTCCTCTGTCCAAATAAATCTGCACATCAGTGACTCTAAAGCTAAAAGAAATGGTTCTATTTGTGTCAACTGTTCCCAGCCAAGAAAAAAAAAGCTGCATAGTGATTATTGCGCCATGAAAATAGTTACTTGTCATTTTTACTTTTCTTGGACAAAGAGGAGGAAAGGGGTTTCATCCCTCTTAATGCTAAGCTAAGCTAACAAGCTTCTGGCTTTATTTTTATACTTCGGATTCTACACCGTGTATCTACAAAGGATGAAATGAATCAGGTTCCCTTTTAAACAAGTGCAGAACGATTGATTGGCACATTATTTTCCCCAAACAAGTCTATTATTTGAACGTGTTCAGATGGTCTGCAGGTTGCTGCTCATCTCATTTGTCCCCCGACTGATTGACAGTGAACACAAACTCAAAGAGGTGAACTGAGACCCAGTTCGAGTGAAGAACTTCAACCAGAGCGATCACGTCTGCACTGAAGATCCCCAGACGTGGACGAGTCCGTGTGTACGCGGTGCGTGTGTCTGCGTGTGTCTGTGTGTGTCTGCGTGTGTCTGTGTGAGTCTGTGTGTGTCTGCGTGCGCCTGCAGCATCCTTTTTATGCACGTGCGCGTGTCGTTGTGTGGGACCGTCGGCAGCGCAGGAAGGAGCGCACCCCCTCGTAACACAAAAGAACACTGATGGAATACTCGTAATACTTGTGCTTTCCTAAACCCACAAGCACCCCCCCCCCCCCAAATCAATCACTTTTAATCACTTGTAATCAATTTCATCCAGGAGGGAACCCGTTCAGAAAAACTCTCCTCCTTGTGGAATCTTGGAACAAAAGCCATCCACACGCCGAGCGGGGAGATGATTGTCGGGCTGACACGGGTTGGGCCACCTGCCAGAACTACACCGTGGAAAAAACGCACATTTCTCCCCCTTTTCTTTTAAAGTCCCCGTCAAGCACGAGCGCTGCACGCCGCGCTCAGGCACGTCCGCTCTGCGGGCACGCGCATCCCTGAGCGTTTAAGCACGACCCGTCTCTTGTCCTCATGTCATATGCGTCCGCTCCGGGTGATTGGCAGCTTGGAGTGGTCACAGATGAAAGCGCCCCGCCCCCCCGCCCCCTCCTCTCAGCCCCCCCCCCCAAGGGGCTAATGAATAGGCCCCTGATTGCAGAGCCGCTCGCCCTCCCGGATTAAAGCGTCGCCCAGCTAATGAGCAGATACGTTGCGGCGCCCCTCGTCTCCGCGCATTCCCGTTCCACCTCCTTTCATGCTGATGAGCTCTGCCCCGCGCGACCGTCAACAAAACCTCTGTGGAAGATTGCAACGTGAGCCGTCTTCATCAGCGACCCCCCCCCCCCTCCTCCTCCTCCTCCTCCTCGAGTGTATTCAGATGCTGCCATATGCTTCTGGTTTTGTTTCTTGACTTGAGGATGTTCTTTGACTGAGCTGATGATGGGAGCTTGGCTTTGTGAGGTCTCACTTTGTTAAAAACCAAAGGCCCTCCGTAGGGGTGAACTTATTTTATTTAAACTCTTCTCCCTTGGCATCGTCCACCTGCATTTAAGTCAGTGATTCAAAATGTTGTTTCAAACGTTTCAATGAATCTTGAAGAACAAGCTCGAGACATTTAAGGCACGTGCTTATAGTTTCTTAAAAGGTTGTAAACCCTGATGCATCTTGTTTTCTGACGAAACGAATGCTGCATCCACCTTCAAAATGCATTGCGATGTTGTTATAAACATCTAAACTGTCACGTTTCCTTTCGCCCTTCAGAGCCGGGCCACGTCAACAGACAACGGTGGGAGGCTTAACGCCGCACGCTGAACTATTTTAGGTGAAACTTTCTTTCTTTAGCGAAACGGGACAAAATTGAATTTACTTTGTGGCACGGGGTGTTGTGTTTAAATGTGGATTTTGCACATGCAGGCCTATCATTTCAACCCCGGCTATAAAAGCTCACCACAACTGGATTCAGTATCAAGTTTCCAAACAAAGCCCAAACAAAGCAACATGTATTAATTTGACTCTGGACAGGGGGGGGGGGGGTCAGCATATAGTATGCCGGAGAAATCCTGATAAATAAACAAAAAGAAACGTTATTTCGAGTGAAAACTATGACTCTTACAGTAGCACACGAGGGCACGAGGAGGCCTGACGGAGAGCAGGGAAATGGCTGAAACGTATGATTCACTTGGACCAGGCGGACGGCCAGCCTGCAAGCATGCAAAAATAAACACAGGACTCGCACAGCACGATCCCAGGATGTGTTTATATTGGGGGAGACGGGTTTTAAAATATATCCCAGCACTTCAGTTTGATTTGTGAGAAGCAGGGGCAGGATGTAAATCACTCTCCTGGGGCAGGCCGGAGGTAGAAAGGTTGGCTGTACGTCAGAAACTTAAGGTGGCGCTACAGTACAACACACTGGAACACTTATTTAGCTCAACAGGAAATAATATCACAGCGGTTTTGGTGTATTTTTCACTTTCGTAAAAGTAGCAATGGCAACGTGGGGAAATATTTGCTGTGCTCACAGAAATCTGAACTTCAACCAAGAAAAATATACTTCTAAAGCCCTAATGAAAAAAAGATTGCATTAAAAATATTTGTTGGGCGGTAATTTGGGCGCCCTCGCAGCAGCATATTTCACCCAACATTCATTTCTCATGATATGACACTTTAAATGCACATTACAAATAAAAAAGACCACATGCTACTAAGACGAATCCAGATGTTCAACGTTTATTCCAAATGCAACTTCCACACTGTCTTCAAATAAGAGGAGACTCAAGTAATAAACCTCAAACATCACTGGACAGGTTGATTTAATTACCTGTCAACCCTATTTATTCTGGACGCTGTGACGTGTATAACGCAGTTATCAGCAAAGACTACACAGTACACGGTATGTTACAGCAGCAGCTGGTCTGTGCGGACTGTGCGACATTTTATTTAACCACAAGGCGGCGGTACGTCCATGTTGAACTCTCACAGAGACACCTGGGGAGGCATGACATCCAGGTATTTGAAAAAGGAAATGGTATTAATATGTAGTGATACATTCGGATGTATTTGATATAAATATTGCAATATTTGCATTGTTACATTCACCTATACGATGTCAAGCAATCATCACAAAGACAGGAAATAGGACCTTTTCTTTAGTTGAGACTGTTGGACAAAATTAAAGTTTGTTATTGTGTTGGAGGCCTCAGAGGTGACCATTTGTAAAAAACAAATTATGAATCGTAGTGCAAGAATGTAAGTAGTTTAAAACAAAATACCTTCTTTTATTTGTTAAAAAAAGTCTGGAGTTGATTATGTGGATAATTTCAAGAGTTTGTGTACGAGGCAGCAGCTAAACCAAGTCGGTGTCACTGAGAGATCTGATCCTATACACCGAGAATAATGCTCAATAGGAATTATTTTACAATAGAGTAACAGGGGACAACATACAGCATAGTTGACACATTTTAAATGTACAAAAAAAGAGGCGTGCTTCTGTCCGGGTGCGTTTGCGATTCCGCCAGGTATCCAGGTTTCTGGTTCCGCCACACCTAAGCCCTGCATTTCTCAGGGGGCTTCCCTTTCTTTTTCATTCTGTCCCTCCATTGTTCGCCGGCTTCCTCCCACCGGGCCGTCCGTCGGGGGGGAGCCGGTGTCTCTCACGCCGCTGTGTGCATTGTGTGCAGACTGAATGGCATCAGTGCAGACAGCAGGGTGCTTGTTTCCAGTCCTGCTTGCCACACCAGTTTGTCCTCCCAGTATCACACCGTACAGGTCAGATTAATGCCCGAGGAGGTCGATGTCACTGTACGGTCCCAAAACGTGGCTCCGTCAGTTTGTGTGCTAAATAGTAGTAGTTGCAGTATTAGTAATAGTAGTTGCAGATAACAGACCCGCCAACGTTTTGACAGCAAAATAGAGGTGACTCTAGGTAACTTTTTTAGGTAACTTTTTTTTTTAAAGCTTAGTTCAGGATTGTTCACAGTTTCATTATTAGTTCTAATATTATATAGTTATTTTTCATCATTTACGTTTAGTAAAACTTAAAATGAACTCCAATGCTCCAATGAACAAGTTGTTATTGCTCTGCATTCATTTCAAGGGTTAGTAATTTATTCATAGTCATTATTTTTCTTCCTTGGACAATAAAATTACATTTGAAATAAGTTACATCCAAGTGTCCAACTCTGCAATGCGACCTTCCTCTACAATGAGTCACGTCGTCTCCTCCTCCTTGTTCCTGCGGGATTGGACTCACCAACAGTGGCTCCGCCCCGACCAAAAAAAAGACCTGCGCCTCTGCAGACAAACTCACCTGCCATCAGGACCGACCCGCGAGCTGGCAGCACGACGGAAGACCGACGGAAGAACTGAGAGTGATGTAAGTACTGAGTACTAACTAACTGACTAACTTCACGTGACTGATGGCAACAAGGGGCTTAGGGGCTAAAGGGTGAAGCAGATAAAGTTCACGGTAATGACGGAGACAGAGTGACGCCTTAAATCCTTGGATCCTTTATTTTTTGAGGTGTACTCTTTAGACAACAAAAACCACTCTGTTTTTTTGTAGCTGTCGTGAAGGACAGATGACTTCACGCAGAGCCTCTGTTTTACATAACTGTTAATAAAGCGCCCACAAAGAGACACAAAAGAACTTAAAAGAGAAAATGCAAAAGTGCAAAAACGAGGGAACAAAATAATGCATTTTTTGTCACTCTGCTTCAGCACTTTGAGGACTTTCTGTCTGACCAATTATGACCAATTATCCGGTTTAATCCTCTTTTCAAGGTCACAATGCTAATTCATTTTGTCCCGCTCATTGACAAGAAAAACTCGTGCCTCGGATCAAACGTTCACGTTCCGTCTCCCGCAGTGGACAAACATGGCCTCCGCCTTCTCCGTGCGCAGGTACGCGGTACGTCAGCCCTCCCTCTCCGCCATGTCCGTCAGGGACGGCGCGCGCAGCATCCGCTCCAAGACCCCCGTCTCCGCCGGCACGCTGCCCCTGTACCGCTCCGTCTCCATGGGCAACGGTCTCAACGTGCTGCCCCCCGGCCTCGGTGGGGCAGCGAGCGAGAAGGAGACCATGCAGGGCCTGAACGACCGGCTGGCCACCTACCTGGACAAGGTGCGCTCGCTGGAGAGGTCCAACGCCGACCTGGAGGCGAAGATCAAGCAGCTCATGCTCGAGAAGGCTCCGAAGGGGCACGACATCGAGGGGATGATGGCCCAGGCGCACACCATCGGGCAGGAGGTCAGTGTTTCAAATTTTAAAGGTTCCCTTAAGAGGGCAGGAACCGGTTGCTTCACAGTGATGGTGACGTGTCCTTGATGTGCTCGGTGATCGGTTTCGCCTCACCTTTTACCTTCACACCTGAGATCCTGTTGTTACACAAACACCACAGCACAGAGAAAAGGTTGAACGCAGGACAGAGCAGAAATGTCTTTCTTATTCTAGTTTGACTAGATTCAGATTTTCATCCCGTCGTTGACTTCCCGTCGTGTTTCCCCGCGTCCAGATGAGGAAGAAGGCGATGGAGAACGCCCGCATCCTGCTGGAGATCGACAACGCCAAGCTGGCGGCCGAGGACTTCAGGGTCAAGTGAGTGTCACGCTGTGGTGCCTCTGTTTAACTCGCCCCCGAGAGTGTTCGCACGCCGGCGCCAGACTGCGAAGCAATGTGAATAAATGACCTTAATGTCAGGCTGCGAAATAAGAGCCACGTTCCCACGGCGCCCCCCTCCCCCCGGCCCGCAGGAGGTGAAGATCGCCATCGGTGGGCGCAGGCCGAGACGCATCGTGCGGGTCAGAGGGACGTCGTCGGTTTCACAAGTCCAGAGTTGGCAACGTGAGGCTGGTTGAAAGGCCGAGGAGTCGGCGTTCACCTGCTGCTGTTTTTCACATTGTGTTGATGGTATGTTCTGTGGCCTGGTGGCAAGCAGCGATACATCAACATGGACAGTTATTTATGGCGCCAGCAGCAACGTGCATGTGAACCTCATAGATGATCCATGAGATAGATTTCATACGTGTGCATCCACTGGGGAATTATTTCATGTGTGTAACGTGTTACGTTACTTATTACTTTTCTTATCTACATGAGATTACTGTTTTCTCTACATCCAATACGTATCCGGGCAAATTTTACTTTGCGATAATCTATTACTGGAGCAACAGAATAGTATATATTATTTTGCTAATAATACTGCACAATATTGCTCATCACAAATATTTTTTACATTGCTGCAATGATACCTTCCTTTTCTGTACAATTGTTAACATTTCATTTTGAAATAAAATCAGGGTCCAGGCTGTAGAATACTTTTTACCTTTTGTGCTCCTCCTGCAGATGGGAGGCCGAGGCCACCATGTGCCAGTCGGTGGAGAGGGACTGTCAGGCTCTGAGGAGAGCGAAGGCCGACCACGACCAACTCATCGCCACCCTGCGAGGGGACCTGGACAGCCTGAAGGAGGAGCTCTACTTCCTGAAGAAGAACCACGACGAGGTGAGATCCTCGCCGAGGCGAAGGTCACGTCAAGACATGATCAAGGAGCGCTTCCTCGTCTGAATAATTTACTTTACAAGCTGTCAGGGACTGTCTGGCATGGAAGATGTCTTTGAGGCGGTTTAACTTTCTTAAGTCTCCATAGAGTTCCTAATACCTTCCAGTTATCTTTATCAGCAAGACAATGGCAGTATTACCAGCTGAAATATAATCATACTAAGTGTGCAGACACGCCACTTGTCTTTGTAGAGCGCTTTAAGACAGCGGGAGAGCACCTGTGTACACAACAGACAGGAGCATTCGAGCCCATCCAGCCACACAAATGATGTGTGCTTAGACGCTGAGGCGTGGCATCCAGGATGTGGACTGGAAACCCCACTGAAGACGGTCCTTTTAAGGCGGAGGGGAGTATTTACTTTGCACAAGCAGACGTGATAAAAAGTTCAATTTCACTGTAGCACAGCAAAGACTGTGGCACGTAAAGAATTTCTATAAGAAAGAAATCATTTAAGAAAATGAAAGTACCGGTATTCTACGAGATATTCATTTTCTTTCTTTGAGCCCCTAGTTATTTAAGTTATTTGTTTTTTTATACTTTCACTGTCAAAGGAACTTCTAATAATATTTCAACCTGTTTGAACTGCCAATGAACATCTTTCAAATACTTAAATTGTCATTCAAAAAAACATCAAATAAACCTTTTTGTTAAAACATCAGCCGTGCATTCAAAATCTTGCTAAAGTACTTTTGGTATTTGTGGGGTATTTCTACTTTAACTGAAAGTAAAGTCTCTGAATACTTGATAGACAAATAATCAGATGTTAAACTCTGCAGGGAGTGAAGCGGAAACAAAGATGCGTTAAACACCGCTTTGCCATTTCCCCCATTTAAGGAGATGACGCTGATGAAGTCGCGCCTGGCCAATGACCAGGTGAGCGTCGAGGTGGATGCGGCTCGCGGCCCGGACCTGGGAGCCATCATGGCCGAGCTCAGGGTCCAGTACGAGGGCATCGCTCGCAAGAACAAGGAGGAGGCCGAGACCTGGTACCTCAAGAAGGTCCGTCACCGCACCAATCTGTCATTATTTACTGAGGTGCCATGGACATATTATGAATGTATTCCACGGGTGTCATTAGTTGGAAACAGTGCAGTCGGAGGTCAGAGAAAACAACGAGGCGTTGCGCTGTTCCCAAAGCGAGCTCAGCGAGAGACGACGTTTCCTGCAGGCTCTGGAGGTCGAGCTCGACAGCCTCCGGAAGCAGGTACGCCACTTTGTGACATATTTCCACACTTTTAACCTCTTACCTTTTACTCCTTTGAAGCTGCGTTGTCCTTAGATGCCAGCTGCGTTCTCCTTGTCAGAGAAGAGCCACAATTCACACGGCAATTTCATTGTGCTCCAATGATCAGTCATTCTGACAAGACAAAGACAAAGTCTCATGTAAGGACATGTTAAACGAGCGTATGGATCTGTGCGGCGGGGGCCAATATAGTTCATGGATGTTTGCCTAATGGGTAGTGAATGCAGAGACATTACGGCGCTGACAGTCTCAAGTGTCTGCGGATGAGTGGTGATCTCAACGGGTAATACACGGCAATAATGGATGGTGAGAGTGGCGACACTTTTGTCAACCCAATAAAGGAATATTATCTGTAATAAACCGTGCTTTGTGCGAGCAGTCTGAGCGATGCCTTCAGGAGTCTTCTTGTAAAGAACTGTTTTAATTCAGCGTATTTCCTCCACATAAAGCATTTGAGATGCCAATTTTAAGGGCTGCCTTTGTTGGGGCTTTGCAGACAAACAAAAAAGGGACAGTCCTACTATTCTGATTTAAAACCTATTTTTCTCAGGAGTTGGCGGAGACCAAAACAGTAAATTCTGATTCTAACTTCTAACTTAATTTTGCTCTCTTGTAAAAGTTTTGCAATTATATTTAACACAAAAACCCATAACGTTGACATTCACAGGTTTTCTTTAAGAAATTAAACTTCAAAAATGTATTGTAATTGTTAAGGACGCATCACCCACAAACAGGACATTTCATTTTCCAGCAAAAGAAAACCAGCAGGTTTGATAATGAATGTTTTTCAGGAAAATTCGTATTCATGCTTTTCCGTTTTTTGCATAAATGTTTTAACGCTGAGTGACTGTTCAAAATAAACACAAATCCATTGTTAAAAATGTATTGTGACGTGTGAGCCTGTGTAGTACGACCTGCCATCGCTTGCCATCACCATGACCCCCCCGCTGACAGGTGGGAGTGCTGGAGGGAAACCTGGGAGAAACGGGGCACAAGTACTCGGTGGAGATGGACCGTCTTCAGGCCACGCTGTCCCACTTGGAGGACGAGCTGTCTCAGCTGCGCTTGGACATGCAACGCAACAAGACCGAGTACGAACAGCTGCTGCGCGTCAAGCAGAACCTGGAGATGGAGATCGCCACCTACAGGAGGCTGCTGGAGGGAGAGGAAATGTCAGTGAGGTCCGAGATTCCACCCTCAACACTCGAAACTGCATGGTGTTATAACATGTTATTAAAAAAAAGTGCCTTCCTCCCAACAAAGTTAAATAAATGTTGCTTTCACGTAGGAGTACATGTATTTATCCTGCATATCAATGTGTGTTTGGGGATTTATAGCGTATTTCTTGTAGAGCATTTGACTAGAAGACTAAACAAACACATCTGTTTGTTTAGAAGCGGACGTCTTCTCTAGAAACTCTTAAGAGGGAACAGAGCAAAGTAACTCCTAAGGTGTCCTACTTCCTTGGATATTAAGTGAGAGGGGACGACGCTCGGATGACATTGTCTTATTCTTTTGTCCCACAGGGTGAAAGAAACACCTCCACCTCCGAAAAGTAAGTTCACATCACCCTTATATGGAATGCCTTCAAAAAAAGCTTTAGGGACTTTCTCCAAAGTTCTCTTAACTATGTTTACATGGTTCTGTGGTAACTCCTGCAGGCTGTTTGTAGTCAACTCTAATCGGATCCTTTGTGGTCCGGTTGAAAACAAATCCACAGTAAAGCAAAACGCTGCAGAGGCATTGAATCCTTGTGTTACAGACTCTCCCTTTAGCCTACACGAGGGTGTGGTTGCTTGTTACCCAGACAAGATCTGATAAGAGGCCAGTTTGAAATTGGATCTCCATCCTTTCTGTATGTGTTGGTACACCAGCATACAGATAATAACCTCAGCATCATAACCTCAGTAACACTCAAGCATTACTTAATACTTGTCTTGATAAGACATTGCATTGCTCTTAGATAATTGTGAACCTTTCTTTTCTTGTGGAACTTCGCTGACATTACGTATTTTTTAATTCTGCGCCACAGAAGAACCAGATGTCAGGACGAGGAAGATAGTAAAAGTCGTCACCCAGACCATGATCAACGGCAAAGTGGTGGATGAGTCCAGCGAGGTGGAGCAGATCGAGGAGTGCAAAAAATGAGCCAGTGCGTCTGCGAAGAGGACGAAGAAGATGTCTCTTAAACCTGAAGCCTGCTGACTGAGGCTTGAGTTCATGAAACGGTGGCGGAGGCCCCCGCCTGCTACTGTAGCTTCTTTCCAGAGCTTTCACCACATGTGGTCTTCACCGGCAGTGATCTGATTTGCTCGGTTTTCATCAGCGGCTCAAACTGCTACTTCAGGGCTAAGAATCAACTTTCACTCTTCTTCGTCTTTTTGGAGAAATAAACTAATTTGCTTTTCTTGCAGGGGGTTAGGTGAGAAGAATGACACCACTTGTTGTTGACACAACCAGCAGCTCTGAAAAGGCCACGAGTTTGTTTGTTCCATTCATAAAAATGTTTAAAAGCTAACCGGCTGTAGCCTCATATTTTATGCACAGGTATTGGTCTTTCCCTCAAGCTTTTGTAATGAAACGGGAACATTGTGTTGTGCTGCAGTCTTATTGTAGAAATCAACCATAGCAGCTGTACAGCGTCAATAAAACAGTGTTTCAAAATAAGAGTCCATGCTCATTTCCACGTACGTTTAGCGCAAACCGAAACTTTGACTGATACTTGAGGAACATAATAGGACGTAGCAACAAAGAAACGTGATTCTGCACCAAGAGGGCAGAAACTATGAAAACCTAAACGCAACGGTTTCAGGTTACAGGCTGTTGTGTTAGGAGAGTGTTGTGTTTCGGTGACTTTTCCTATGAGTTTTTAACACTCCATCAGGATCAGGAATCAGGAAACATCTATTGCCATAATCTGTCAGACATACAGCTGACAGTCACAAGACAACAGTGCAAGAGGGATAAAATAAAATATAATGCTATGGGTTAGTTAAAAAATAAAGGAATAAAATCTAAAAGTTAAAAAGTTAAAAATATTAAAAAAATAATAATAAAAAGTGCACCAGCAGTAGCAAGTGAAAGTGGCGTGTGCAGTGTGAAAGAAAGTGACGGGTGGAACATCAGAGTCAGCCAGTGGGGGACCGGGCTCTGATGACGGGAAGAAACTGCCCGTGTGGCAGGAGGTCTTAGCGTACATTACATGCAGTTTATCAGAATTTAAGAAATGTTGGAACATAAAGTCACTAAAAACTGAGAATAAGTGTAAACAGTAAAATATGACGTCCACAAAAGAACACAAATCCTCACAGTACTGAGATTAAAGACCATCTTTCTGTGATACCAGATCACAGAATATAAGCCCACAGTTCAACAACAAAGGCAAAAAAAACTTCCATCCAAATTGTTAACTGTTGGGGTAATTGGGGTTTTCATGTTTTGTATAAAATAATAATGTTTTCCATCACTTCCCCCAAAAATACATTTATACTAACTAAATGTTAGTTAGTTCCAATTTGAATAGGTGTTATAAAATCATAAAAAAGTGCAACGCTCACAGTAGCACTCGTTCACTGCAGCTTCTTGTGAGCGTGGATGTACATTAGTCGGTCACTCCAGTGTGAAAAGTTTCACTACGATGCAGAAAACAATAAACAAACAGAGTCAGACGTCACCGACAACGTCAGTAATTAACAGTCGCTATTATGTGTCGCCTTTAGGACAAACTTGTGAAAATCCAAATGTGGAGTTTCCACACAGACTTTTAAGTGTCATTAAGTTATTGACTGTCCCATGATGTCATACAAAGGATTTACAGCCAGAAGGAACTCGGAAGGAAGAAATGTGACACACCCAAGGTACTCCTTTCTTTCCCATAAGACCCTCTTTTAAGTACAATCTAAGCAAACTTTCTGTCAAATCCAACGTAGAATGATCTCTCACAAAGAGTAAGTGACATTTGCCGCTCTCCTTTGATCCTTTTGTACCATTTTTGACCGGGTGACATGTACTGCTTGCTTCAGTCTAGTTCAATCCAGGTGTCTCAACTGTGCAGATTAGCGCTTTGATTTTTATTGCCTGAATGAATGTAATTAATAATTAAAAAATAAAATGTAAATCCTTATTACAATGATAATTTCAGTATCAATTCAATAATTGGCGCTCTACATCCACCTATAGCTCCAGAGATCAAGCTAAGGGGTCACAGGGTCACCGGTAACTGTAGAAATTAGAGAATCAATTAATCTTTTTTTGCTCTTGTGTAATTAGGAAAACAATATATAGTTGGCTTTATATAGATCATCAATACCTTTTATTATAGTTACTCCAAAGTATGTCATTCTTTTAGAACTCCATTTTAAGTTTGTTGTATACTTTCAGATGGTTTGTAATTAAGTGTTAAGATTTGTGTTTTTGACGAACCGAATGTCTGAAGTAGATCAATTAATATAGGCAGGAATCTGTCAGGGTCCTCTAAGGAACAGATCACGTCATCTGCAAAAAGCCCTATAATGTGTTCTTCCTTTCCAACCTTTAGGGTATTTATTCTGCCTAACTGCTTGTGCAAGGGGCTCTATAAAGATAGCAAATAGAGTTGGTGAAATGATTTATTGCCTTGGGATCAATACCTAGTCATTATTTCATTTACTGTAGTAATCTTTGTTTCTTAAATGAAATGAGTGTGACAAGTAGATACATCATGCTTATAACTACGTTGCAAACTAACTATATGCCCAAACCCATAAATAGATAATGAACAAACCACAGAATGTACAGTAACTAAATCGATTGTTAAATTCACTTGTACTGCCATCTACTGGTAGAGATGCTGAACACGTTTACTCTGCAACTCCTGACACTAAAATCTGAGTTCAATGCAGCCTTAATAAGTCTTCGTGCAGAAAAGGTATTCGACAAGGTCAACTGGAATTTTCCATTTTGGAGAAATTTGGACTAAGTGAAAAAGCTATTCAACGTGTCAAAACACTTTACCCCAACTGGAAGGATAAAAATAAATGGCAGTCTGACTGATAGCACAGCACTGGAGCGCTCCACCAGGCAGGGATGTTGTCTTTCACCAACTCTATAGAGCCCCTTGCACAAGCAGTAAGGCAGAATAAAGACCCTAAAGGTTGGAAAGGAAGAACACACTATAGGGCCCTTTGCGGATGACGGAATCTTCACAAGAACTCAAATTAAGGCCCCGTCAGATATCAAAACACATTTGCGGGGAATTGGTGACAGGGAGAGTCATTTATTTTTTGTCCTAAATATTGATGAATGAAGAAAAAATTGGGCTCCCGCAGAAGGGTCCCTTTTCTCATCCAGGGCAGAAGGGCAGGTGCTTGTGCACCACTAGGGGTCTACCTGTGCACGTGCCTGGATGACAGTCTCCTTGAAGCTGACGTCCTGCTGCCGGTTTAGAGCCTTGATGACGTCTCCTCACATGTCCTTTAATTTTAACAATTAGTTTTAATGCACAATGATAGACAATAACAAGCTGCACACTATGTATGTACTGGATACAGACAAGATGTTAAAATTTGATTTAATGATGAAGTTATGAATCTAAACTCTGCCCTGTTACAAATGTAACATTTGCAGTGAACAATCAGTCTCTGACAACAGATTAAAAGTTATGAACATTCTTACTATACTTATATAGTTATATCTTATGTGTAACCGCTACGAAGCCGTGAATACCAGCAGAGTATTTCACAGACAACTTGTCGAGTTCACGCCCAAGCTGTGGTTCTGAAGGCATTTTGCCAAAAGATTTGGATTCATGTTGAGACTTGAAAAGAGAATCCATTCATTACCTGTACTGTTTAGATTTGCTGTAGGCTGTAGCCTGTCCCAGCATGCATTGGGGGATGGGTAAACGGACTGGACGGGTAGCTTGTCTCCCACAGGGAAACCCCACTTCAGCAGATAAATGCTGGTTCTTTGTAACTCTCCGTGATGGTGACCACTAACACGTTGAATTCATTTCTGTGATTGTTTAAACTCGCATCTCTTGTTGCGTCGGCCACTTTATCGCTTTAATCTGACAAAAGTCTCCGCTGTGAGACTAATAAAGGCTTATCTTTGTCAGGCATTCCCCATTGGAACAGACCCAAACGCAGATCGAGTAAGGTGAATAACAAAGGATTTATTTTCTTAGAGGCAAATGCGGAAAAATACTAGGAACAGGGTGGTGAGGGCGGTCCAGAATCCCAGGTGAGGTGCAGGTTCTTAGGATCCAGGGGGTACAGAAAAACGTGGCTAGGTTCCCGGGTGAGTGCACAGGAAAACACAACCCACCTGGGGTCCGTTTCAAGTAGGAGGTTTAACAAACTCTGAGTCATATATATATATATATATATGTATATATATATAAAATGTTTCTTCTATAAACATTTTCCCTCAACAATGATAACATAAATGGTATATTGTTCAATATGTATTCATGTTATAATCAGTTTTTAAGAAACCGGGTAAGTAGGGACATAACTATTAATACATCCATATAGATAAGTTATGATTCAACAGAGAGAATGGGTTAGGAGACAGAGACAGAACGCGAGGGACAGCAAAGGGTCACCCGACCAGACTGAGCCAGACTGAAATGTATAAACTAATGTGCTTCGTTGGTGTCTTTCCGGAAACTTTCGAGTGTTGTTGCCCCAACAACTCTCCGCCAATCAAAGGATCCAGATCTCCGGTGTGTTCTATGGGTGTGTGTTACTGAGAGTCCCTGGTCTGTGAGGATGTGTGGGTCCTCATCTCGAGTCAGATAGATGAACTCAGTGAGTTAGAATAATTGGATAATAGTTAAAACTATGAAGAAATGAATCCAACTTTTGACGTGGGAGGAGACAGTTTCACCTGCAGCTCAATTAATGTAATCGATGGAGCGATTGGCATGATTTAAAAATAGATTTGTTATTGTGTGTGTGTGTATATAATTCCAAAAAGATGAGAATTATAATACCAAAAAATAAGGGAAGGCAGAACCGCAGAAACTTGTGTTTGCCACATATCTTATTTCCTGCAATAACTCTTAAGAAAAAGGAAATAAATGTAGGCAACAAGTTGTATAATATGTGGTCACAAAAAATGTAAATAACATACTATAACATAATAATATTAATATGAAAATGTCAAAGAACAAGAAAAGAAAATCATTGTGAAAATATAAATATATATATTATATATACTTTATTCCAGCTTGTTTTTCCCACCTTTTTATGTTTGCTGCAGGAATTACAGTTTGTGTACTACATTCAGTCATGCAAGAAGGATTTTTTACGGGATATCTGCCACAGTCTACAATCCTTTGCACAGCAGATATGAGGCAGAGGGCTCAAGCTGCATGTAAACCGAAAGTAGTACGAAGCCCCAGTTGGATACTGCATGGAACAACAAGTACTTTGTGAGGAGCAGGCAGTTTGGCCTAAAGGTAAATGATTTGGCACGCAGCTTCAGACTGACATGTGGGTAAGTTGTCCTGCCCCAACAAGTTCAACCAGATGAGGAAACTGGAGTGAAGAGTAAAATCTGGTCATACTCTGTTACCTTAGTGAATGTTTTTAATCAATATAAACTCTTCACAACATTTGTTACAAAGGTTGCTGCTTCATCACGGGTTCCCTACTAGTCTACATGTAGAAGAAGACCAGACAACAAAGAGGGACGTGCACGGGTCCTCTGGTATAAACAACAGCATCCAGTCTGTTGTGGCGCAGGGGTTAGAGAAGGTGTGCTGGGAAGCACAAGGTTGGTGGTTCGAGTCCAGGCTGCCCCATGTTCCATGTCGAAGTGTCCCTGAGCAAGACACCTAACCCCTAGTTGCTCCCCGGGCAAAAATGTGAAAAAGCCATGGGTTTAAAGTGTAATGTAAGTCGCTTTGGATAAAATTGTCTGCTAAATGACCTGTAATGTAATAGCAACTCCTTATAAGGGGAAAGGATTCTTCCACAGATGCTGGTTTTGATCCTGAAAGACTTGTTTGAGCAGTGAGGAGGATCCTGTTCATGAGGAACTTTGTCTCTGTGAACACAGCTCAGACTCAGTTAACCAGTCAGACTGTAATGATGACGTGACGACACAACCTCTCTGATGAGGGAGAACAAGCTCCAACAAGCATCACTTCACTCTTTCTGATGGAAGTAGAAGTGAAGCACGGAGCTCCTTTTCTACACGGACCTGCTGAGAACGGAAGAGAGTTGCACACTGAGGAAGTTCAGTAAGTGGAACTATTATTGGTTGAATTACATCATTGATTGTTTTGAACGTGTGATTGTTTAAAGCTGGGAAACTAGATGGCGCCTGTGTGAGCAGGCAGAGAGAAGCTGCTGTTAGTCTGAATGATGACACTGTGATGAAGAAGGTGAGCTCAGTCTGATCTGGGGTCTGCAAGGACTGTTTCTGATGATGAAGAGAAGGTAGCAGAGAGAGGGGCACTAGGACCTCACCTGGGCCTTTGTTCCTGCACTGAAACACACCTGAGAGACACTCTGTTTGCTCTGAAGGAGATTAAGCGGAGAAACAGCACAGCTCCGTCTGCTGGACGATGAGTGATAATATTCAACTTGTAAGACCCCACCTGTATAGGACGAGCAATTAAAATGGCGTCTGTTGACATGTTAAGAGAGTTTAAAGAGAATGTTTTTCTCGTAGATGACAAAAACACGGAAAGTTTCACATGAGAATTTTAGCATTGAGATTAATGAGCTCTGTGTGTTTGTCTTAATGAAGAGAAATGATGTGTGAGCTCTCCCAGCAGGTTGTTGTGAAAGTGTGAAGGTGTGGACTCTGCTATGAATCAGGGTGAGGACCCAGAAGCCCCTCTGTGTGGGAAACATGACAGCCAGACCAAAGCTAAGAGGTGAGAGGACCATCTCTAACTGGCCTCCACTCTTCTCCGTGTCCCAACGTCTTTGATTCACTGACTCAGGTTCTACATGTGTTACCAGGATCCATCAGAGACCAGGACCTGGACCTGGACCTGGATATGGACCTGTACACAGCTGTGTGTCCATGAAGAGTAACCGGTCTATGGATGCTGAAATACTCTTCAAAGATGGCTGTCCCTCTGTTGATGCAAGGTGAGGGTTTCGAGCTGATGATGAGGTGTATCAGACTCTCTGGTGGAGGTTCTGGGTGCCTTGCTCCAGGGCCCTTCAGCAGGGAGAGCTCCATGGAGGGCTTGGCGCGAGCTGTTGGGACTAATGTTAAGGTTTCGGAAGCTCTCGAGGGAGGACTCAATCCTTTGTTCTCGTCCCGGCCGGAAACGAGGACACGAATGAGTCAATTCGTTTAAATTCAAAAATCAAAAGTTATTTAATAACTGAACAACGTAATAGGGATTACAATTACAAAGTGAAATATTAAGCGAACAGTGGAATATTTCGCGAAATAGAGAATCCTCTGAGCAAGTCTGAAGGGACTTATCAACGCGGCTGCAGGAGAAATTCTAACAGTCTTTTTCCCCCGCCATGGTCCTTTGAAAACTCTTGAGGTGTGTCTTCTTTGGTGCATTTGAATGTCATTGGCCTCTTCTCCAAAGGGTCACCTCCTCCATTGTCCCTTCCACGTCGAGGTGTGAAGCTGCAGCTGTAACCTGAAACCTCTCTGTCCTAGCTGTCCCTCAAATTCCAATGCACTCAATGTAGATACAGTGGCTTTATGCCCCAATGAGTGAATTTAACAAAGCATACATCGTTTAAGTCTTCATCTTATAACTAGTACACTTTCATTACAACAACCCATCATTAATGATCACCGTTCATCACACTTCATCATAAGATCTAAAACAGTTCATGTGGTTCAATTCTCAAGACATTTGCCTCAGTCGGCTGCCTTACATGAAGTTGTTCATTTTATTACCTGACAGGAGAAAAAACTCCCAAAAAACCCTCTTTGGGGAAAAATTGGAAGAAATCCATAAAGAACGGCAATTGGCATCCGTCCCCAGGTTTTAACATCACATTGTGACAGAATGTTAATGTGTACAGTGTTTATATGATTTAAATGACTATGAATTGTGTTTGATTGAAATTGCATTCACTTCATCTAACATGTTAATGTAATAACTAATATCTAATAACACACAAACTATAATTCTAACACTATACATTATTACACGTACTATAATTCCCTGACTAGGGGTGCACTTCTGGCTTAAATCCCTAACACTAAACCAAACTGACAGGTGAAGAAAACAGTGAGCTGAAAGACTGAGCTGTTGATTGATTCTCAGTGGGACCAGCAGGTCCAGTAGACCTAAACCACTACAGAGAGTCATGTGATCCACATCCAAACATCACTTCATGGACCTTGTTTTGGTCTCTCTGAGGACGGACACCATGTGAGCTGATGCTTCATGATTAAATGATGACGTGATGATGTAATCTGTGTTTCTTTCAGTTCACATCAGCAGAGAGAAAAATCTCCTGAACCCAGCTGTGTGTCCATGAAGAGTAACCGGTCTATGGAGGCTCGAATACTCTTCAAAGATGGCTGTCCAAGGTGAGGGTCTCAGGCTGATGATGAGGTGTTTCTCTCAGACCCTCTGTTGGAGGTTCTGGGTGCTTTGCTCTAGGGCCCTTCAGCAGTGTACAGTGATGGAGGGAGAGCTCCATGTTACCGTAAACTTGAACGAATTGTCCTCTAAATTAACTGCAATTTACTGGCAGTCGACGCTAGTAACTTACTGTTTTATTTACAGTGCCCTACCATAATTTACGGTATGTTGTCGTATATTGGATTACAGTTTCTTACCATATGATTACTGTTTTTGTGTTATAAATACCAGAATGTTACCGTTTACTTATAATCGTATACTTTTGCATTTAATTCCCCACAAATTAAAGAAAGACAACCAAACTCATTTTGGTCATAGTGGTTGGAGCTTATTAGATGCCTTTAAGACAAAAATGTTTGGCATTTGTAACCAAGATCAAAACATAAAATATGCCACATGTATACAATAATAGAAAAATGAATCGTACAATCATTAGGAACAAGGTAAACTATCTGCAACAATACGCTATGGAACACTTTCAATTGACCGCAGCAAACGGCTGGCGTCCTTAATCCAGAGCCTCTGTAAAACAAACCAAAATAAAATATTTAGAAACAATGTCATTGGTAAAATACTAAAATTACAAAGATGAGGGAGACAACAAGATGTAAGGAAGGAGAATGTTAATCATGCTAGGCAAATAACACTTACCAACGTTACTTGGAGAGACGAGGCAATGAGAAACTCTTCCGATGTTCAACTGCACTGACAGGTGTTCTGGATGAACTGAGATTACGCGTCTGACGTCACGTTCAGGAGCAGTCGGTCACGATTAACACTCAAATGACTTTTAGGCAATGAACACTTTGAATAATACAAATATTTATAATCTTTACATTCCAGCCAGTGAATGAACAGCAAAGGCGGCGCATGGGATAGGGAGGGTGTGCTGTGCAGTGCAAGGTCGGCGGTTTGAATCCTGGCTGCTCCCTGTGCCAAATCGAAGTGTCCCTGAGCAAGACACCTAACCCCCAATTACTCCACATAAAATTATGTCAAACCACGGGCGTTTTGGATAAAAGTGACAGCTGCATGTATAGTCCTGTAAGTCAAAGTCATCATCGTATCGCATGAGGTACTATCTCATTATGATGACTTACAGGACCTGTTTTTCAGTGGCTGACATGGGCTTGTGGATTGTCATTCACTGCACTTGTATGTGTATTTCCACCACTTCATACAATATATGTAACATGCAGTTGAATTACGGTGGTCTGCTATTATTGTAAATTGACAGCTTTAACTGTTTATTCATGACATTGGCCGTTAATTTACAAGCAAGGGATGGAAATTTAACTGTATGTTACAGTTATCATGACATACTGTAAGATACCGTTAGAAATGCACCGTAAATTTACAGCATTTGTTACAGTGTAGTTCCTCCACAGAGTGAATCAGGAGAGGTCACATTTTGAGATAGCTGCAGAGTTCTGGAGACAGATGACTGGGACTGGCTAAACATGTGATTAGAATAAATTCAGTCAATCCATCATCAACAGTATCCAGCATCTGGTTTTCATCATGGTCAATCATAACAGAAGCCAATATCTTACTAACTGGTTTATTGGTGTTGATGGTACAAACACAATGTTAGCTGATGGTTCATGATTCCTCCACAGAGAGGACCAGGACAGCCCAGAGGTTCTCACAGGTCAGTCTGCCCGGCCGCATCAAACCAACCTGGACTCCATATTTATGGTGTGTACATGTACAACTACTTTTACATATCTGAGTTCACCATCATCTCCATGCTGCACTTTGTAGACCAGTGGATTGTCAGTCTGTCCAACACGGACCTGATGTTGGCTTCCATGTTTTTAGTTTGTGTCATTCATAGAATATTTTGTTGCAGCTGCTGGAGGAGAACATCCTCACTTTTGTAAAGAACGAGCTGAAGAAGATCCAGAAGGTTGTGAGCTCAGATGACCCAGAATCCTTAGAGAGTCAGAGGGAGGATCAAGAGCAGAGGAGGAGCGGAGAGGCATTTGAGAAGATAGCAGTGCACTTCCTGAGGAGAATGAAGGAGGAAGAGCTTGCTAAACGTCTGCAGAGCAGTAAGAGGATTTCTCTAAAGACTTACCATGCTGATAAATGAGACCTTCACTAATGTCTCAAGAGATGGATCAGAATATTTTCATAGTCATTCTCTGAAGAAAGGACATGGTGAAATCTATCTTTGACTCATTGATCTTCTTTGTTGTCTACATTCAGGACTTTTTGCTGCAGTTTGTCAGCGTGAACTCAAATCTAATCTGAAGAAGAAGTTCCAGCGTGTGTTTGAGGGCATCGCTAAAGCAGGAGATCCAGCCCTTCTGAATGAGATCTACACAGAGCTCTACGTCACAGAGGGCGGGACTGCAGAGGTCAATAAAGAACATGAGGTCAGACAGATTGAAAGAACATCCAGCAAACCAGCCAGACCAGAGACAACCATCCGACGAGAAGACCTCTTTAAAGCCTCAACTGGAAGAAAGGAACCAATCAGAACAGTGATGACTAAGGGAGTGGCTGGCATTGGGAAAACAGTCTTAACACAGAAGTTCACTCTGGACTGGGCTGAAGACAACAAAGACAACAAGGACATACAGTTCATATTTCCATTCACCTTCAGAGAGCTGAATGTGCTGAGAGGGAAGTACAGTTTGGTGGGACTTGTTCATCACTTCTTCTGTGAAACCAAAGCAGCGAGAATCTGTAAGTTTGAAGAGTTCCAGGTTGTGTTCATCTTTGACGGTCTGGATGAGTGTCGACTTCCTCTGGACTTCCTCAACAATGAGATCCTAACTGATGTCACAGAGTCGGCCTTGGTGGATGTGCTCCTCACAAACCTTATCAGGGGGAAACTGCTTCCCTCTGCTCGCCTCTGGATAACCACACGACCTGCAGCAGCCAATCAGATCCCTCCTGAGTGTGTAGGCATGGTGACAGAGGTCAGAGGCTTCAATGACCCCCAGAAGGAGGAGTACTTCATTAAGAGGTTCAGAGAGGAGGAGCAGGCCAGCAGGATCATCTCTCACATCAAGACCTCTCGAAGCCTCCACATCATGTGCCACATCCCAGTCTTCTGCTGGATCACTGCTACAGTTCTGGAGGACAATTTGAAGACCAGAGAGGAACGAGAGCTGCCCAAGACCCTGACTGAGATGTACGTTCACTTCCTGGTGGTTCAGTCCAAAGTGAGGAAGGTCAAGTACGATGGAGGAGCTGAGGCGGATCCACACTGGAGTCCCAAGAGCAAGAAGATGATCGAGTCTCTGGGAAAACTTGCATTTGATCAGCTGCAGAAAGGAAACCTGATCTTCTATGAATCCGACCTGACAGAGTGTGGCATCGATATCAGAGCAGCCTCAGTGTGCTCAGGAGTGTTCACGCAGATCTTTAGAGAGGAGAGCAGACTGTCCCAGGACAAGGTGTTCTGCTTCGTCCATCTGAGTGTTCAGGAGTTTCTGGCTGCTCTTCATGTTCATATGACCTTCATCAGCTCTGGGGTCAATCTGCTGTCAGGGTGTCGATCTATTGGCAAAGAGAAAGTTAAACCAAAATGTTTCTACGAGAGTGCTGTGGACGAGGCCTTGCAGAGTCCTAATGGACACCTGGACTTGTTCCTCCGCTTCCTCATGGGTCTTTCCCTGGAGACCAATCAGACTTTCCTACGAGGTCTGCTGACACAGACAGGAAGTCGCTCACAGACCAATCAGGAGACAGTCGAGTACATCAAGGAGAAGATCCGTAAGAATGTGTCTCCAGAGAAAAGCATCAATCTGTTTCACTGTCTGAATGAACTGAATGATGGTTTTCTAGTGAAGGGGATCCAACAGGCCCTTAGTTCAGGACGTCTCTCCACAGATAAACTGTCTCCTGCTCAGTGGTCCGCTCTGGTCTTCATCTTACTGTCTTCAGAGGAAGATCTGCAGGTGTTTGATCTGAAGAAATACTCTGCTACAGAGGAGGCTCTTCTGAGGCTGCTGCCAGTGGTCAAAGCCTCCAACAAAGCTCTGTAAGTACAGAGAGAGTTAGATTTATACGTCAGAACTTAATTATGCTGCCATCTGTTTAGTCATTGTTCATATTCCCTTCATCATTGTTTCTTCAGACTGAGTGGCTGTAACCTCTCAGAGAGAAGCTGTGAAGCGCTGTCCTCAGTTCTCAGCTCCCAGTCCTCGAGTCTGAGAGAGCTGGTTCTCAGTAACAACAACCTGCAGGATTCAGGAGTGAAAACGCTGTCTGCTGGACTGAAGAGTCCACACTGTGACCTGGAGACTCTCAGGTCAGATTAAGTTAGTTTGTCTTCAATGATTTAAATGTGTCTCTAAACTATCAGCTCCGTGCAGGATGTCTCTTCCTCAATCTTTACATTTATTCATCAACATTTTTGTTTTCATGACATTGCAAGAACCTTGTAGACAAGACACATTTGTAATAAATTACAGTCTGAAACAAAATGTTCTTTCACAATAAAACATCACAGGTTCATCCTGTTGTTCCTCTTAATGGGGCTTTGTGGTTTCATGTTTGATTTAATTAAAGAATGAAAAGGAGAAAAGCAGAGGCAGTGAATGTAAAAAACATGAAATCAGAAGATGAAGATTAATTTCTCATGTACACTCACTTTGTTCTGTCTCTCTTTATCTTTCTTTAAAACAAGTTAGAGGTTGGAGAAGCCTAACTTTAAGTCTAATAAACATTAAATATCCCTGCCTCATCCTGCTATTAATACTAGTGTACTTCATATAAACAGTAGAGCACAATTAACTGATTTTTTCCCTCTTGTTTAAAGTAGGACTAAGGAAACCGTAAACACTTACACTGAACAAACCAATTTTAGTTCAAATTCATCATCAAGAGGATTCCATTTTAACAGAATTGCTATCTTTCTTCTTGTTGGTTGATGTCTCTTCAGACTGGATGGCTGTAACCTCTCAGAGAGAAGCTGTGAAGCTCTGTCCTCAGTTCTCTGCTCCCAGTCCTCTAAGCTGAGGAACCTGTATCTGAGTAACAACAACCTGCGGGATTTAGGAGGGTACATGCTCTCTGCTGGACAGCAGAGTCCACACTGGAGACGGGAATTTCTCAGGTATGAAGAGGCCTGCTGCTGGTAGAGGAGGTAGAGCTGGAAACCTTTTCTCTGTCACACTGTCAGACAGGTTACTACGACCCTGACACAACAAGCTGACCTCAAACTACCAGAGACTCATCAAACTGTTTGTGTCCCACAACTGACCATCGATACAGACAGAGGTAGTGAGGGAACCGTAGCCAGTCTTGTCTTGTCTAGTCTTGCAGTCTTGTCTTGTTTCCATGTTATAAGAGAGGACAGGTGAGTCCTGACACGTTGATGGTGGGTTGATATGAGTCAACGCCATCTGTTCAATCCGTCTTGATGGAACATCACAGTAGGAATGTTTGGTGTTTTGAAGGAGTTCAGCTTTAGCTGGTTTTGGTTGACAGCCGATGTGAACCTGCTGGATGTGGAAGCAGCTGATTGATATCGAGTTATTAGACAGAACTACTTTAGAAGATGGTCACATGTCACATGTTTAGAGCTTGTTTTCCCCGAACAACAAGTGGAAAAAGAAATCACTTGATGCAGGTTTAAACATTTGATTAACTGACTGACTGGTGAAGGAAACTGAGTCTGAAATGTAAGACGATGGTCAGTATAATACTGATAATAATAGATCATGAATAAGTGAACATATTGAGCTGTGGTCATCGGACAATCAGAAGAAGCTCGACTGCAGTAGAAGAAGAGGTTGTCCATGTGAACATGAATAACAAAGCTGTGTGTATGAGAGTGATGTAATGTCCATGTCTCCATGCTGCTCTGACCCCCCCCTCCTCCTTTCAGGGTGGAGCCTGATGAAGTCCGATGGTTCAGACCGGGTCTGAGGAATTGTAAGTGTGCTTTGAATTTAATTCATGAAGATTCTTCACACTGTGAAATTATATATAAATCATATATAAATAAAATAAAAAGTGTATGTAGATGAACACATGATTTATAACTGCATCTGTATTGTTTATTGTTCTCTCATCAGATCTCCGTGAACTCACATTCGACACAAACACAGTACACAGAAAACTCAAACTGTCTGAAAACAACAGGAGGGTGACATGTGTGGAGGAGGATCAGTCATATCCTGATCATCCAGACAGATTTGAAGCCTGGTCTCAGCTGCTGTGTACTGGTCTGACTGGTCGCTGTTACTGGGAGGTCAAGTGGAAAGGAGGAGTTCAAGTATCAGTGAGTTACAGAGGAATCAGGAGGAAAGGAGTCAACGATGACTGTTGGTTTGGATACAGTGATCAGTCCTGGAGTCTGATGTGCTCTGATGAAGGTTACGTTGTCTGTCACAATAAGACAGTAACACACATCACCTCCTCCTCCTACTTTGGTAGAGTAGCAGTGTATGTGGACTATCCTGCTGGCTCGCTGTCCTTCTACAGAGTCTCCTCTGACACACTGATCCACCTCCACACCTTCAACACCACATTCACTCAACCTCTTTACCCTGGGTTTGGGTTTAGCTTCAAGACCATGTCAAGGCTCAGGCTTGGTTCCTCAGTGTCTCTGTGTTCTCTGCAGGAGGGAGAGTCTCCTCCTGGTAGAGAACCTCCCTCTCCGCTCTCCATATAGTTCAGTGGAGAGCCTGAACTACTGTACAAGACGTCACACAGCTGATGTTGGTGCATGTGGATGTAGATGCAGGTGGAGCAGGTGAGGGGTACCTGAGCTGGTCTGGACTCTGGGGGTCTAGAGAAGGGCGTAACCACGCATTCTTCGACCGTAGTGTCCCCCCCCCCCGTGGACCGTAGCTTCCAGCGAACCCTCCAATGTCTAAACCATGGTTATGGCCTTTGTAAGAGACATTTTTGTTATTGTTTGATTGTTAGCTCCACCCCCTTGGTGGTGGGAGGTTGTTTTTTTCAATTAGGCCGCAAGGTCGATATAATCAGGTGGAGTACCTCGCACATAGCATACTTTTTTTTTATTTTATTCCTCGTGCGCTGTTGTCTTGTCGGCCACTGTTGTACTGTCTGCTGTTACTGTCAAGTCAAATTTCTGACATATTATGGCAATAAATGTTTCCTTATTCCTAATTCCTGAGGTGTTGTTGGTTTTTTTCTTGTTTTTCTATTGTGATTATTTATTGCCTTGTGATCAATACATAGTCATATATTTATATATATATATATATATATATATATATATATATATATATATATATATATATATATATACTGTATATATACAGTAGTAATGTTTGGTTCTTAAATTAAATGATTGTGACTTGTGACAAGTAAATACATCATGCTTATAACAAGGTTGCACATGAACTATAAACCTCAAATATACATAACTATAACCAGATGAATACACAGTAACTAAATTGATTGTTAAATTCACTTATTCTGCCATCTTCTGGTAGAGATGCTGAACACGTTTACTCTGCATCTCCTGCACTAAAATCGGAGTTTCACTATAAGCAACTACTATAAATATCAGCACCAACAACAGCATGAACTATATTCCGAACTGTATTGCATTGAACATTATGCACCGATTCATCCAAAATGTGAGTCTTGATGAATGAAAGAATGAATGTAAATTAGACTGCTTCTTGACAACTAACCTTACCAACTAACACTCCCATTACCTTTTATTTATTTTGTTATAAGATTATTATTTAATGTTATATTTGTTCCCATCTATTGTTACCCTGCACGTGCTTGCATCATAAACCAACGTATGTATATATTATTGCATGCGGTCATTCAATGGCCTAGAATATTTTTAGGAATATTCACACTTTTTGATTACTTTTCTATTTTTTTAAATGAGTTTGTATCCTTATGATTGAAATGCCAAGTCGCTTTGGACCAAAGCGTCAGCTAAATGACTTTTGATTTGCAAAATAATCCAAATGAGGTCAGTTAGTGCGGTTGGTAGGATCAGTGGAGGGATCTTTGTTCCTTAATGAACTAAAACAAAACAGTAATAACAGGAACCGCTTCGTGAAGAGCGTCATCCGCAATAAACGATCTTTGGCTGAGAGACTTCGCCTGTCAAAGAACCGAAAAAGAACGCGCTCTATTATTAACAGCATGTACGTTTGGTAATGAAATACAAAGCCTGATTATTCTGTTTCACTTGTTGACGTTGTGCTGTTAAAGTATAATATTTATCAAAAAATCTAATGTTGAAGTTAGCTAAGTTAGACAATGTTACGCTAAATAAATGCTAATGCTAACTCTGCTAGCTTGACTGACCGTTAGCTAACATTAAGTTAACTGGGATGAGATGCTAAGCTAACTTCAGGTAAAGAAAGCTAACGTCACAAGAATTATTATCTGACAGAAGCGTTAATGTTTAGAATTAAAATAAAAACGTAAGTCTCCAGTTAAGAGGGATCTGCTTAATGTGTTTTAGTGAGGCTTTATTGTTTCATGAAACATAATTGCAGTTCTTCATGATGACGCCGGAAAACGAAAGCGGTTCTCCGACTCAAACTTTCCCTCCAATCAGATTTAAAGCTCTCGACTATGTTTTCGAGGTGAGTTTAACGGCCGTTTAAAATTTAACTTACATCACAAAGCTCCCATTAAACCCCAAAACGCTGCCCTGTGTTCCTCTTTCTCCCCTTTTATTTCAGACCAGCACCAGTCTGAAAGTGATGATGAACTTACTGGCGCTGCCGGCCCCGTACCTCACTGGGACCAGTGACCGGTACCCGCACAGGGGCCACTTACCCGAAGGCCCCTACAGGACCCCGTGGATCAGAGGTACACAACGCCGGCTGCTTCGTGCATGTTCATGTATTCTGCGTCAGATGTGTAGTTCAAGGCACTCTAATACGTTTGCACACAGGGATCCCTTAATTACACAACATTTAAATTAAAATAATGCATTAAGATCTTTTTAAGAAGTAAAACTCCAGTAACCTGGTAGTAAACAGAACAACTTTATTTTTTTACGTTATCAGTGTGATCGTCTTAACACATGGAGCGGAAATTAAATATTCAAATGGTGTTCGAGCATTCTAACCGTGTCTAACGTTACAGAATCCAGCCAATCCAACCCGATTTAATCCAATTGAATCAAACGTGGAACTGAGACAGCGTAGAAAATAAATACTTGCCGGTGTCTGACGCCCCTAAACGAGACAAGCGCAACCTTCTCTTTGACTTGTCACAGGAAAGGTGATCTCGACCTGCAAACTGTTTGTCAGTGGCTCTGTGCTCGATGACCTGGGAGAGAAAAGCCAAGCAGACGTTTCACCAGAAAGGTTCAAAACCGCTCAATGCTTTTCATTTTACTCACAGTGTGTTTTATTGTACTGGTCGTGATTTGCGTTCATGTTTCAGGTTTCTGAGTGAGGCAAACGAGGACGTGGAGGCGATAGCGAGCTCTGATGCCGACTCACGGAAGGATCCAGACCAGCATGAGTGCGTCTGCTTCTTAAAAGAGACACGCATCGACAATCCGTGTCAGGAATCATTTTTGAAGTTGACAACTGACCAGATGACACCTGGAGATGCACACAAAGGTAAGTCAATATTCCTATACTTTTTTAGAATATCTGTGTCATTGATCCTCACCAAATATATGTTTTGCGTCTGTCAAAGATCTCCTCCTGCGAGAAGAGCTCCTGGTTGCCGATTACCTGCCCCACTTCAGGAGACATTTACCCACGCTGAGAGCTAAACTGTCCCGGCTGAGGTCGCTTCCTGTGGCCGACCCCCTGCTGAGCTCAACGGGAGACACCATCTCTGAGGACGCCATATTCAGGTGTGTATGTTTTCCCTTCAACTCTTGATACATTGATACAAATACCAGTGTAGAAATACTGTGTTTCAAGGTAAAACTTTCCCCTTCTGCTTTTTAGGCGCTGTGCATCTTTTGAAAGACCTGCTGATGAGCTCACCATGGACCTTCGGACGTGTCCAAACGTTCTCGAGGAGTTTGGTAAAGAGCCATTGATGAAAGGAGAGGTGATTACAAACAAAAATTCGGAGGGGTTTGTTTCTTCTGTTTGAAGATGACTTAAAAAGGTTTTTTTTTTTTGTTCCGGGAAGTCTCTTTTACTGCCTGTTCTAGTGGACACGCTGAGTCTGAGCCATGAAAACTGCACCGCCTTTTCCAGCATTTGTGGTCCAATTATTGCTGCTCCCGAGCAGCTGGAAGAGCAACTTCCAGTCCTGGATCTGCTTCATAAAGGTAATTAACAATATATAAGTTAATTAGCTAACATAAAAATGCACAGCGGCACAGAAAAGTAAGCTTGTGTACTGGATTCACATTTCTTTCCTCTCAGCTTTCCTCTCCGATGGATCCACGTCAGTTGACGTTTCCCCCTATGAAGCAGCGGAGGAGCCCGACGAGAAAGGCCACACGAAGGGAGACTTGATGGAGCCGGCGGGTAAAAGTCACAGAGAGAAAACACAACAGTAACCTGTTATTTAATATAAGTAGCAAAACCACATGCTGAAATATTGTCCTGCATTCAACATTTTACTCAAAAGTTACTTAAAGGATGGAAGTATGGCTGCAATTCAACAGCTGCTTCCCTCTGTTTCATTAAAGTTCATGCCTAGAATAGAAACACTATATAAAGATAACTAATGTGCAAAAAACCCAACTCAATCTCCCTCAAAGGACGTGTGATGCTTCCAACTGAAATGGAGCTGGACGTGACCTTGACGCCGAGTCTCAAGACAAGTCCGACCCGAATGCGCCCGTCCTTGGGCGACCTTCAGAGGGAGGCGGTGTCAGTGACCGGCGCCGGGTGAGCGAGGAAGCTGCTTCTTTGTTCTGACTAGGTTTAGTTCATTTCCCTGTGAGGCGCTCAACATTTAACAGACTCAAGAGAAGAAAAGCTTGTATGCTGCTGGGTTAGAAGTCGCTGCAGTGAGTTCCTGTGTGAGGTAGAATAGAGGGAGCGTAGAAAAGCTCATTGTCGATGGTGGCCGCGTAGGTCTTTGGTGTCAGCCAGAGCTCAGGGAGAGATGGAGACGGCCCTCTGGAAGGCGGAGAAGCACCCGACCTTCATGGTGGGCTTCCTGTTCGCAGGTAAGCGCTTGGTTTCCGCACAGCTGCAGTTAAAGAAGCCCGCAGCAGTTTAGGATGCTGAGTCGGAGAAAAACGACGCCAAACGCCACTTCGATCAGTTTAATCTGCTGTATTTTCCTCACAGAGCCCGAAACAAACGAACCAGCGGTCGACCTGCAGCCGCTGTCTGAAGCCTGGAAAGCCATGAAGTCAGAGGATCGAAGCTCCGGACTGCGGGAGATGGAGGATGGAGCCCCGTCGGTGCATTTGTGCAGCGTCGGAGACTTCACAGAGAGCATGAGCCCCGACCGCCCCCCCACCACAGAGGAAGAGATGGAGGACTTTACGAAGCTGCACCCCGAGCACGAGGACGGTGAGCGGGCCGCTCCGTGTTCCTATCGCGGCCTGTTGGTTTTATAGACAATTGTGATGAAACAAACAATTCACTGAATTAATCAGTCGATAAACATTCATACGGGAGTAAAGTTTTGGACTGAGGGTCAGAAAAAACATAATTTTAGACGTGGATTGTCTTCGATGATTCGATGAAGTTTGAGGTTGTTGCTGCAGGTTTCTCACAGATCATCCCGTCTCCTTTGGTTTCAGGCGCATCGGCCCCGATGTCGCCTGACTCGAGGGAATGTGACGGCGGTGCTTTTCATGTTGAAACTACTGCCGGCGACATCCGGCCCCAAAACCAACCCGCTGCCGATGGGGCTCGCGCCGCCTCCCCGGTGCACGCGGTCATCACAAGCAACAAGGAAGTGAAACCTTCAACGTTTCCTCAAGTCGATGCCGCCACCAGCTCCAGAGATGAGGGTCCCAGCGGGAGGTCTTTAGAAGGTGCGGGCGTGTTTTCTGCCCGTAAGAGCGACAGAAGCGCGGGCCGACACGACTATGACGCGGCGTCCAGCGGAGAACGTCAGAGATGGCTGCCGGGTACGAAACGTCCACTGGAGGAGACCCTGGACCCTCTGGCCTCCTTCATGATGCTGAGATCTCAGCAGGTGGCTCGGCTGACTGAAGCACCTGAGACCTCGACTTCCGGTACTTTGTGACACGCCAGGGTGGTTTAGATTGTTTACATTATGCATTTATTAATTGTTGATTTTCATCAACGCTTTTATGTTCTTGCAGTCCTACTTTTATACACATTTCTTCTGATAACTTGTGTTTTTGGTGTTTATGCCTGACACACAATAAATGATAAATTACGAGTTAAATTTGACACAAAAACTTTTCTTGTATACGTTCATTTCGTAACCTGCATAAATATATGCATTTATTTTATGTTTTTTAGGTAAAATATAAGTATTTCTACTACTATTACCATTACAGAATGGTTACTCTATGAAGGAGTTCATTTTGCTTTAAACTTTGGCTCCATCTGGTGGTCAAGACAAGAATTATTATTATTGCTGCAGACAAGAATAGCCAAACATTTTATTTTTATTCTGTATTCACAAAGCTACATAATGCAATTTATGTTTATCCTTTTATTTTTATTTCTGTACAAAATAATTAATAACACACATACCATGAATGATCAGTTGATTGATCGATTAAACAATCAAAAAAGATCAAATGATTCAAACCCCTTTTGATAATTGATTATTTGTAGCAATTGAAGGTTAAATCTCCAGCTCTAGTTTTCTAAATGTACATTTCTTATTTGATTATTAGACTGGTAGTTTCATCACTAAATCACTACTGTCACCTTAACATGGCTTTTTTAATGTGCACATACTGAGACACTGCTCATAGAGTAGTGTCTGTTTACACACTGTTATGTCATCTCGTCTTTTTCATCAGCACCAAACGTCGAGCAGCAAAAAACACCATCGGAGCATCATCAGCCTCCCACGGCGCAGATTCAAAGATCAGATCAGAGGCCGACGTATATGAGCAGCGCCGTGTCAGCTAATGCTACCAGAGAGCAGAATGCGGCTGATCAGACGGGACAAATCAGTCGGTCCATCCATCAGAACGGACAGGACAGCAGAGTGGTAGAAGTCCGAGCTACGGGTACGATACCAAATGGAGAAAAGACATAAATATGATTGTTCCCAAAGTGTTTGAAGTCTGTGACTTGGTCCCCTGAGGCTCTCGCTCCCTTACAGTCAGCCAGCAGCGCGCCCACGGCGAGCTGCTGGCCTTCGCTCAGCCTCGCTTGAGCTCTGCCGGGCAGCTGGGGCTCAACTTCGCCGCGCGAGGAGACTTCAGCTGCCTGACCCCGGACCAAACGCACTTCCTCCTCAAGCAGCAGGAGCGGGCGCTCCGCGGGACGCGCGCGCAAAGCACAGAGCTGCTCGGAGGTACAAGACACTTCTGTCCTAACGCAGGAACACAAGCATGTTGCTTTTGTCTGGTAGCTTTGCATTAGCGTGCTGTTCCTTGTGTGTGTGTTGAAGAGCTGTTCAAACAGGCGGCTCTGATTCACGTGCTGGTGACGTTTAAGGAGATGCTGCTGAAGTGTGACCTCGGCGCTGCACTGGGTCAGTATAACTCCGGACACCATGCGTGAGGTTTTATAGATGTTCAGATTTGACTGTCGTTATAACTAGACTTAGACCCAGGGAGAAAGCCCACGTCAGATCTTTAAGTGACGTTCTCCTTATGCACTGAAGAGTACCTGACCAAGGCCGCTGAGGCGCGTGCGGAGCAGAGTCTGGAGCAGCTGCTGAAGAGGCTGCGGATCATCCTCTACCTCAGTCAGCAGAACCAGGAGTCCAACCTCAAACTGCTGGAGCTGCAGAAGCTGCTGGCCGAATGGCTGCACCGCAGGACAGGGCAGAACGCCGTGGAGAAAGTCAGTTTCACCCGCACCGACGGAGCCGCGTTTATTCAAAGACAAACCGCTATGATCCTGCCTCCTTTGTCTTTTCGTAGATGCTGGTCATAATATCCGTCGACTCTGACCACATCAGATCTTTAATCATCAGCAGCCTGAGCCACGTGGCCGGTGAGCAACCCCTTCATCCCTGCTCACATATCAGCCCTTCCACTGCCAACCGAGCACGTTCTTTTCGTTTCAGGTGCTGCTGTAACAGCCGTTCGTCCTGAGGAGAACAAGAGAAAACTGAATGGCGCCAGTGTGGTTAGCAGGTAGAAACCATCAGTATTTATGTATTTGCTGCATCATTCGCCCGCATATTTCAGCACATAACAGATAAATCAATAAATCCTTTTGGTGAGAGTGTTGTTCTTTCCCCCCCGCCGTCCCGCCCCGGCAGCGCGTGCGACAGTGTGTGCGTGGTGGTGTACGAGCAGCACGTCGGGCCCGACTTCCCCTGGAGCAGCTTCTCCGTGGTGGTGGAGTACGACCACCCGGGTCAGTCGCCGTGGGCCGCGGTCTGCAGAGAGAGGAGCATCGGTCACCTCGTCTTCCACACCGTCATCGCCGAGCCTGGTCAGCCAGCCGCCATGCGCGTATTATTCGCGCTTGTTGTGCGGTAACGCGTGACCTCCGTGTCCTAAACCTTGTGCGATTGTTTCCAAAAGATAAGCCGAAAGCCTGGAGGCTCCTGGAGGACGACGTGCCATATGTGCTGTTGGTCACAGAGGGGCTTCTCGACTGCCCCCTGCTGCTGCAGACTCTGGAATCCGGGTAAATGGTTTTCAGTCAACAGACGTCTGCAGTGGTACAAGTACAAAAGCAACGAATCATCACATCTGAGTGGCTGAAACCAGAGAATAAATCATTCAATCAGGCAAAAGGCTTAAAAAAGTTAAGTTTAAAGTAAATTCTCGCAGCAACTGCTGATTCATTCTCAAGTGATCCCAAAACCGGTCGTTTTAGGTTTGCTGGTTATAATACAATCTCTTAGCTCCAGACATTTTTAGGGAACCTCTCTTCTACAGACAGGTTCTTAAATACAATGTTTCTACCGAGTGAAGAGCCGCTATCATCTGAACAGCATGTGGGGAAAGTAGTCCCTAAATATGTTCATGTTAAAGGTTTGATATGACGGTGCTGGAGAGGAGCCACAGCCCGTCCCTGCAGATGCTCGGAGGGACTCATCACTACGCTGTGATCACCGTGGATGAAAGCACCGCCATCATCATCCAGGTACCGGGAGAGATACCGGCTGCCTCCTCCAACTCTCCCAACACTCACATCAATTAGGGATGTTTTCTCTCCCTCTGCTGAGCTCGTCGGTTACTGCATGGAAAGGTGTCCTGACATCAACAACAAACTGTTTCTGCAACTCTGTGTGTGCGTGCTTGTGTGTGTGTGTGTGTGTGTGTGTGTGTGTGTGTGTGTGTGTGTGTGTGTGTGTGTGTGTGTAGGAGGAGGAGGAATTGTGCCAGGAGCGAGCCAGTGAGAGAGTAGTGATGAGGCTGACCGCTCTCTCTCTGCAATACAACTACTGTTGGCTCATCCTGCACTGCAGAGAGAACCACGGAGGAGGGTCAGCGTACAAACACACACGCACACACACAGACGCACACACACACACACACACACTGATTCTGTCTGTTCTTGTGATGACAGGTTTTCCACCGAAGCCTTCAGCAACTTGGTGTTAGTTTATTCGTCTCTGGTGCTGTTCAGCATGAAGACTGAGGATCTAGACGTCAAGGTAGAACAAAAAAAAACACAATATTTGTCTTCCCTCCCTTGCTTTCAAAAAAACCTCAAAGCCATCATATTGAAGATATGGGAAGTGCAAAAAAACACTCGTCGTTTGCTAAGTTGTTCACTTCACTGATTAGTTTTGAATTGGAATGAGCTGGCATGATAACTGTGTCGTCCACGGGGTCGGCTGCTCCGTTTGTCAGGTGCTGATTGTATCTGAGGTGACTGAAATGGCCAAATGGATCAGCCAGATCTGCTTCCACAGCCTGATGGCCGGGGAGAAGGACCCTCGCACCTACCTGGACAGAGACTGGCTGACTGTGATTCCTTCAGAGGTGGCCGGTTCCCGAGGAAGCTGCAATAAGTCCTCCCGTATTCAGTTTAGGGGTAAAATGCTGAATGGACGGGGCTTGTTTGGTTTTTAGGGTTTGACACTACTTCATTTTGCTTCCCTCCAGGAGGAAAGGCGCCTGGTTCAGTTCCCGTGTATCAACCCTCTGGTCGGTCAGCTGATGCTGAGGAGAGCGCCGTCGGTCCAGTGGCTCCTGGGGGCCTCTCTGTCCCAGCTGATGGAGCTGCTCCCCGAGGTGCCGCATAAAGTCCTCAAGGTGAACGGAGACCTAATCGCTCCTCAAGTTATTTATGTGTATGCATTTAAAACAAGTCTTTTTATATACAATACAACGGTTTATACATTAAATGTCATTTGCATGATGTCAAGTGACTCAACCCCTTTGGTGACGGATCAGAACTGAGGAGCCCCCCCCCCGTACCCCCCCTCTGCTCTCTCAGCTGTTTAGTGACACCACCTCGCTGTACACCGGGACCGCGAACCAGCCCGAGTCTCTGACAGGCTTCACCGAGACAAACCAACAGACCCACGGCCCCCTCTGCAGCCCCTGGACCCCCACCGCTGGCCCAGAGTTTGTGAACTCTGACCCCCGGCAAGAGGCCCCCGTCAGCCCCCATCCAGAACTATTCAGTAGTGACCACGACACCGGCGTCCTGTTCAGAGGCGATCACAGCTTCAGGGACCCGGACCCGGCGATGCGGGCGGGCGACCCGGCCTTCAGACTCGACCTGAGTTCCTCCTTCGGCGTCCCGGTTGTTCCCGTCCAGAGCAGCTGGACCGCCAGCGACCCGTGGAGAGAGCAGGCGCCGTTTTCCGGCTGGCGCGGCAAAGCGGGAGCGGCGGGGAGAGTCGTGGCGAGAGCCGGCGGCGAGTGGACCCAGAGAGCTCCGTCAGATGTCTGCGGGCCTTTCGAGCAGAACCCCACGTACGATCGCGGCGGTCGGAGCTACGCTTCCTCCCAGGTCTTCGGTGACCTCCGGCGTCCGGACGGCCACCCCGTTTCCTGCGGTCTGAGCCCTCCGACCCGGGTCGCGCTGTGGGGGCTGGGCCCAAACTGCGGCGAGCGCCTGGCGAGTAGCGGGGAGGCGGCGGCTTCGGCTAACTACGGCTCCAAATGCTGGATGGGACGAGAGAGGAAGAGGAGCGGCGAGGCGGCCGGTTTGGATGGAACAGGTGAGGGAACCGCCGGCTGAAATGAAAGCTGATATTTTGAAAAATGAGGAGATTTGCACTGTATTTAGATGGTTGTCTTTTTTTGTTTTTATTGGAGTAATTGAGATATTTCCTCTTGTTTGTTTTGCAGCGTTGACACCGCTGAAGAAGCGGAGGATTCGCTATGAGATTGTGCCCGGCAGATGTGATGGACAGACGAGGCTGAAATTATTTTAGGCACCAATGCTTTGTAGCTGAGGCTGGTCTGCATAGAAAAGAAAGATTTGTTATATTCAAGTATTATTCAAGCTTTTTATTCATGTTATACGTATTATTCTGCATGGTTAGTCTGCAGAACCGTTTCTCGTGCGAGTTTTTGTTATAGTACTTATTATGTTAGTCGTTCTGAGACTTTATGCTTGAATGTTGCCCCATAAATGTTATATGTGATTTATTTAATCAAACCTACAACACTAGTTTAAAATTTTAGACATCATTTAAATGTCTTTTATTGTTAAGCATTCAGGATTCTGGTGTATAAACAGATAATTAACGCAAATATAACAATATATTATATTAAATATTATAAAATACATCACATGGGTAGAATTTTTAAAAATACTGCACATGTATAAACAATTGAAACAGCCTCCAACTGATATTTTACTTACTGTTTATTATATGTTTATATGCTGCTTGTAAGCAATAAAAAAGGGCGTCGTTCGCCATTTTTGTTTTCACAAAATAAGATCACAACCGTGCTTATTTAGGTTTTCCCCCACACACACACTGTGCTCAGTAGTGAAAAACAAATTGGGATTTATGGTTGGAGGAGTGGGATCGAGGGTCTTTGCCAGCAAAACTGATAACGCCTCTCATTTCAGCAGCTCCAATGGTCGGGCCATTTTCCTTCTCTTCTCTTTTTTTTTTCATTTAGTGAAGCAATCCCCTTATCATCGTCTCTCAGCATGTGGAGAGAGTGCTTATCTTCACGAGCCAGCAGAGTGAAGCCGGTTCCCCGAGGAACGATCCCCAGACAAAGACGACCCCCGAGGGACATCGACTCCAGGCCTCCCTGCCTCTGGACAGCCGCATCCAGCACTGGCTGGCCACCATCAATAACCCGCCAGGTTTTTTGGGGGCCTTTTTTCTCACATCTCTCTCTCTCTCTCTCTCTCTCTCCCTCTTCCTCACCCTGGCCTCTGCCTTCGAACAAGCAGTGGACAAACAAAAGACGCTAACTAAATGGATTGTTTTTTTGTTTTCTTAACGGCGCTGGGACAAAGGGGCGTGGGGCGGGATGGCCAGAGGAGTCCCCCCCCCTGTGCGAAGGCTCGGTAAACAGCAGCAGTAATGGCGGAGTAATTGCCCTCTGACTATCCTTACAGCCCCGACCTGAATGGGTACAGGGGAGATGTTGTGTGAATTAACAGGCTGTTTAAACCGAAGCCGTCCTTTAGGTTTGGATTCTGCGCCGACTGCGGCTGTAAAGGTCACACAGCTGTGGTTATCTTTAATCACAGGCAGCAGTTAACTGTCACCTGTGTGTTTCCTCTCCTCCTAAATAAAACCCCAAAACGGGCCCCTGCGGAAGGAGGGGGAATTAAGACCGAACCCGTTATTCTGTCGCAGCGACAACTTTGAAACCATCCACACATTTTATTCCAGTAAACACCCGACTTGATGAGACTGCCTTCATGAAGCATCCCGCCGGGTCTCCCGCAGCGCGCCAAGCGCGTCCGAATGCCGCGCTGGAGTTTAGTCCACCAGCTCGTAAACGCTCATTCTGCCCACAGACCCAAGCGGCACGGACAGAAGACGCTGCAACGGCTCCCGGCTTTGCCGCTGTGGTGGAAGTTAACTGAGCGGTCAGAGCCCACAGCGAGTGTGCGTCTGCAGACCTCCAGCCCGCGGAGCGCCGGCCTGCAGGTGCAGCCCCATGGACGTGCAGCGCGGGGGCCCATGAATGGGCGCCGTTCTCCAGGCCCGGGGGCTTAATCCCGGCCCCTAATCGGATTATGTAAATTCCTACTCCACACAGAGACTTTTATGGAAGGCTGCGTCTTTGAAACAACACTTGAAGGGTGTAAAAGGAACAGTGACAATTGGTTAAACTAGACTTTTTTTTTTTTTTGGTTATCTGGTTGAAAGTGGGAGGCATTGGGGGGGGGGTTGGATAGAGGTGAGTCAGGAGGCTGTAATTTATGTGTGGCCCCTTGGAATGGCTCAACAAGATTACCATAGTCATTACAAAACACATATTGTTCAACTGTCAATCTGGATGTGGTATTTTTACCTTTTGTGGGCCAATCGGGGCGAGTTGAATAGCGCAGCGCGCAGCGACATCAAGGTCCTTTCCGCCGCGCGGCGGACGGTGGGCCGTCCATGCCTAATGTCCGACAAACAGAAAGGGAACAAGTGTCCACAGCAGTGAGAGAGGGATCACACAACGTCTCAGTTTCCCCTTCAATGGGAATGTATTTATCACCTTCGAGGATTAAACCAGCAATGAATCATAAAAGCAGCAACGAATAGTCACTTAAAAGGCCGTCGAGAAAAAAAAAAAAAAAAGGGGGTCCGGAATCCTGTCAAACGTTGCACAGAAAGACATGAAAATCAACTTAAAGCGATGACGTATGGAGGATATACTCATAAATCCACCTCCATTGGTTCGAAGTGATAGAAAGGGGGGAGGGGGGGGGTTAACAATCACTGCTCAGTTAACATTAACCACACACACACACACACACACACACAATGCCACAGAGGCTCCACGACAGCACACGTCACACAATAGGGTTCACCCTGCTATAAAGTGTGGGATGCGAGCATGCGGCAGTCTCACCCCATCCCTCCCTCCCGCCCTCTGCTTCCCTCTCCGCTCACAAGGGTCTCTCGGCGAGCATGAGAAGACACGTCTGAGTGGACATCCACAGCGGACCCCTGGACACTTGACGGGCTGCAGAGGACGTCTCCGCATCTGAGATTTCTGTCCATTTCTACACGCAGACAGGTGAGGCGTTGTGTTACGTTGAAGCGTTTGTTTTCCCCTTCAGGCCGTGCGTTGATCAGCACTGGTGTAAAACCAGGCGACGTGCATTTGACCAGACTTTGCATGAATTGGAACATCAAATTGTTTAGGATGATCATTTTAAATATGGTTCTTATTCAACCGTAACCAGAAAATCTCTTCAAAACAAATCGGATAATAGTAATCTTTAACCAGCCTATTCAACGTGAAATTTACTGCACTGTGCGACATGTAATACATGTAATGCACTATAATGTAGCCTCATGTTAAAACGTGTTTTATATTTTTTATTTATTATCTGTATCATTCACTTGTATGTGCAAACAGGAGGATTTATCAATATATCTAAATTACATTATTGTGTGTTAGCAACTAATATAAGTGTATATCCTGCTTGTTAATGCTAAATACTGTATGGGGAGTAATATAATTTTTACAGTGAAAGCCAAATAACCTTTTAAGTAAATTTCTGACATAAAAGAGGGAAAGTATACGTTTATGTTTTTTAAATTTATGAATTTCATGAACAATTATCCATATTACTTACCTCTCTGCAGGAAATATCAAACACACACACACACACGTGGGCAGTTTTTGCTCATGACATACACTGACTCTTTCTCCTTGCAGTCGCCTCCGAATTAAGATTATTTGATATTTGATTAAGATGCACATTATTTTATTTATTCACTATTTTGTTTTTAAATGCCCTAAATATATAGTGAAGAATTCTCTCCATAAATTCTTGCATGCCAAAGGTGGTTTCTCAGAATGTCTTGCTTCGCCAAAAAAGCATTCAAAAAATTCAAAAATAAGTATAATAAGATACTTATTATTATTATTATTATTATTATTATCATCTATAAGAAAGAAGAGAAAAATCTTCCCCACTTAACAAGCTGGAACTTGGACACGTTACCACAAGCATATTTCAAATTGTCATTATTCCCTCTGTGTCAAACGGCCGATCGATAATCCGACCCATCGTTACAGCTCCGCGCGGCGCCATGACCAGGAAGGTGTTCACCAACACGAGGGAGCGCTGGCGCCAGCACAACGTCAACACGGCCTTCGCCGAGCTGCGCAAGCTCATCCCCACCCACCCTCCGGAGAAGAAGCTGAGCAAGAACGAGATCCTGCGGCTGGCCATGCGCTACATCAACTTCCTGGTGCAGCTGCTGGAGAGCCAGAGCGGCCAGCCGGCCGGCCACTCCCCCGCCGCCCTGCTCACCTTCCTCCGAGGAAACATGCAGCAGCTGCACTCCCCTCCGCACGGCTGGGCCCTGACCAGCGACACCGAGGTCCCGTCGCCCGGCTCCAGCTGCGACGGCTCCGAGGCCTGGTAGAGCCGCGGGGGGAGAAAACGGACAAACAAACAAACAAAACAAAAAAAAAAAAAAAAAGGAAGAGGAAACTCCAGAGCGGACCGCCGGGGCCCCCCGAGGGGTTAGAGTAACCTGCAGGTGTCCTTCCTCGGCGCCCGTTGTTTGTATGCAGAAAGATGCGATGTCGTGTGATTGTTTGTGGACCCCGAACGTGGGTGACATCGTGGGCGCGGCCTCCCGGCGCGGCGGTGATGTGTGATTTGCGGGTGGAAATGAATCTGTATTCTGCATGGAATGGATGTGTTAAAACCCGGATGTACAATATTCCCTTCATGTCTTCATGCTAATATTCCTTGTCGCCGGGCAGCCTGGAACTAATTGGGTTTTGCAATGACGGGGTGTTTTGGCGATGAGGAAAACGGAGGGGATTAAGGAATTTGCTCATTCCAAGCAACAGATTCAGTCATTTGAATAGATAATGGCTCAGACAATTCTCCCGAATGCAATTGTCTCCAAAGAGCCAATGGCTCCTTTTTTCGTTTTTTAAACCAACGACATGCGGTTTTTCTAAATCTGACCTTTATTTTCATTAATAAGCAAGCTAATCCGTCTCCGTAGGAGGACGTTCCGTCAAAGACTTTTGAGGTTTCTCGCCAATTTGACAAAGCAATGTTGAGTATTGGTTGACCGCAGATTTATTCTTAGGATTGAGCTGAGGAACTTCAGCAGAAGCGACAATCCTCCCACAGTAATTTCATGCTTCATCACACAATCATCTCCTTATTTCAATGTGTTTGAGTCTTTGTAAAATACGCATGTCATATAGCCAAAGATTCTGAATTGATTGTACTGTGAAGAGTGTGCTGATGATCTTCTCGTACCTATTTTGTAAGTTATTTTGGTGTGCTTGTGAATATACAGTATGTTATTTATTTGAACTATTTATTTAATAAATGATTTGATAATAATTTACATTTCAGCCTGTTTTAAACTGCAGTGTGATCACATTGAAAAAAATGACAAAAAGTAAGTAAGCTCTCAAAACAGTGAGCATGCATACTAATTATATATATATATATATATATATATATATATATATATATATATATATATATATATAATATTTCAGTGTACACGGCCGTGATCGTCCCAAAATGCTGAAAGGAAATAAAGGAGTGTCGGGGGGGGAAACATCAGCACCAGGAACGCCGAATTAAACAAAAACATAACTCAAATCCTCGTGAAACATTCTCACTTGGTCAGTTTGCAACGGCGGCCTGAATCAAACTGGCCTCTTTTGTTCGTGCTCAAAAGGCCCAGAGACATTTGCCCACGAGTCCTGTGATGACCGTGTGGACACAGAGATGACCTCTGCTCTCCGGCCGCTGACCACGGGTCCGCCAGAGGAGCGGTGAAAGTGACGGCTTAACTTGTGACCCCGAGGATCGGAGGTCGTCCCGCAGTCAAACACCGGCCGCTCGACCAACGTGCAGATGGAGTTTACTCGGGGAAAGAATCGCTTTGTTGGTACACGCGGTGTTTGACACCACTGGATTTATAAGTGATGGCGAGGAAATGATAAAAATCACCAACTCATTCACGATTTAACTCCCAATAATCCGATAATTCCAATTTATTGACACTGTAACCTTACTGATTTATTATTAATCCATTTTTTAAATTAATCGATTAATGATGATCGCAAATAAGACAACAGTAAAAAAATATACAGCTGCGATTAAAAATGACTTGTTTTGTCTTTTCGGTAAAAACAAAAACAAAAAATTAATCTGTTTCCAGTAAAATAAAACATACAGAAGCAGCTGCTACCAGAAACCTTTTTTAATAAATCATCAAAATAATTTCTGTGTTATTCCACAAACCGGCTCATGGATTCATCAACTCTTTAACTCCAATATCCACAGTTGTGTTTGCGACCCGTCTCCTTGTTTGTCATTCGAACCGAGGTCAGACATTTACACCCCTAATCGCCTATTGTCACTGTAGAAAATGTGGCCCGTTTTCAGGCGAAAGGCTGCAACTAACTGAGCTGAAGAGTCAACAGCGCGTTGGTTTTTTGAGCGCTTTCACCGCGGCCGTTAAACTCTGGCTAATGGTGTGTAAACGGAGCAGAGGGCAGCTGGACATACTGACTGGAGGCCTGTGGGAACTGACAGGTGACTCTTTGTCATTCTGCAAACATGTGAAATGACTCGTGTTGAACTGGGAGAGTGGAAACGACTGCGTTTTGGGAAATATTTGCCTCTTGTGCAATTTCACGGGGGAATGGTGCAAATCCATGTTGAACTGAAAAAAAAACGAATGCAGTAATTAACAGCTGTACTTCCTGGTCACATGTGTTATGCTAATATTAAAGTGTTTACTTCTTCGTATCTTGAATGCATTTAAAACTGTTTCACGTGCAATTATTCAGAAATCATTTGAAACTGGATACGAAGGCGTATTTGCTATCGAGCGGCAAAATGCATTTTGCTGATCCGCCCTTCTTTACAAAAAAAAAAAAAAAACGCCCAATGACAACACCGGCATTACTCTGACCTCAATTTTCTAGCAGAATTATGAAACCCTGCATCGAAAATAATAACAAATCCGTTGGCTTCTCACTGCCTGCGCCGAGTGTGTTTGCCTGAATGACTGTTCTCTCCCGGGTGTACGAGGGTAATCGTCTATTGAGAGCACATTTCCTTATCAGCGTCTAGCACACTGTCTGAATCTGTTATCACAATGGGCCAGATCAGTGCAGGCAGCCCCTCGCTCTCCCGGCTGAGGCGCCCATGAAAAAGAATTTCTGGAGTTGGGTGCCAACCGATAGGCCCTGAGCTCTTTATCCCCTTAAAGCCAATTCACACTCTGCATGTTTAAATATCTCAGCTCAACCCCTGCCCTCCCACTCCCGTCAGGCACTCAGGCTCCTTCCTCTCTCTCCCCCCCCCCCCCCCCCCAT